GTGGTTTTGTTGGTAAAAAACAATTTAATATGACGCATGAATCAGAAGTAAATATCGATTTACACCATGGATGCTTCCGACTATGCCATGCACGGGCTAAGTTTATTAAATGAACTATTTTTTTTCGGTTCTGAAAACGGTTTTGTGAAGCTCTAGTTGAACCGTTTTCAATGGATAAAAGTTTTTCTGTAAAGGTTTAGTGGTTTTGATGATGTAAAACGATGAAGTGAGATGCTCCTTTTAAGTCAAGTTTCTTAGACAGTAGCCACTTGCATCCAGGTTTGCATTAAGAGGTTTTAAATCGAGCTGGAAAACCTGTTATTTTTTTATCTCCCCTGTTTGTTTTGTTTTCATACACAGCTTTGCCATTTTATATATTCTAGTATAATATATGCATTTTATATATTGAAAAGGTGCTCTGAGATGACTGCGTTCTATAAAAGAAAGTTAATTATTTTAGCAATCACTGTTGCATTAAAGGGCAGCACAGTGACAAAACCTCGTTTTCTGTAAATGTTTTTATATTCATTTTTTTCAAAAATCCCCGTGCATGAGAAACCCCACAATATGGGGTTCAGCAGCTCAGATCCAGGAAGTAACACACATCCTCTTTCTCGAAGTGACTAAGAACCGCCTGGATAGCTTGAGGCAAAACTGGCCTCTATACTACCATTTCTAACTGCATAGTAGGAAAAGTGCCAGGAAAATGTGTCCCAACTGAAGAGGGTGCATGTCCCTTGATTTCTGAGAGTGCAGCAATTTGCTTCAAGTACCTTAAACCTGTATTTTAGCAAGATGAAAAACTTTAAAATTATTTTTATATTTTTAACTTTTTTTTTTATCCGCAGCAAATTTTAACGGAAAACTAAACCTTCAAGTATTTTTTTCATGTTTATTAATGTTGCTTTAATCACTGTCTTACAGTGGATTCTATACATATTTAAATGAATAGCTTTAAGACACTGGAGTGTCTTTAAGCAGTTCTGAGAACATTTCAATGAATTATATATTCAGAATCATGTCTTAAATATCTACACTAAAGACCTGAAATATATTCTTTAAAATATCTGCTCTAAGCTTCACAGTCTTTGTCATTATAGAACAGAATCCCCAACTGGCTACTGTTGACATGTCTGACTACATTGTTGAGATAAACTTGAATTTGGTTTTCTTAGGTAAACTGAGAGAAACCTTCAACTATGTTTTTCAGTTGTCTTCTCTAGTTTACACATAAGCAAGTGCTAGCACATTCAAAAGAAGGCCACTGACAAATAGAGACAATAACAAAAAAAAACAAAAGGTTTTGCAACTTCAAAAATGGATTCACGTTCTGAAACTTACCTTGTCTATGAACACTGGATAGTCCTTTGGAACCAAATTCTTACACTTCTCTCTGTCACCAATAAGCTTCCGGAATTCAAATATTCTGCAATAAACATGAAAGTCAAGGATTGCCAGGATGAAAAGAGATTATCGCTTTAGAAATAACTTATAAAAAAATATCTGAATGACACCTTTAAAAATAGAAATATTACTGGAAAGAGAAGAAAATCACCAAAAAAGAAGTCACATTTGTTGACTCATCAACTCATGTGTCTTGTGGAAGGCCACTCCCTTGTGCTTAAAAAAAATTGTTTAAGAGAGCTGTAAAGGTCTGGATGGTTGAGTTTTACACAACTAATTTTTGACAAGCTTCTCTGGGCATCTGCTCAGCAGTAGTATCTCAAACATTTTCATTCACTTGCTGTGGGATCCATGTTTTGAACTCAGGAGGACCCTTGGCCTTCCTGTGAGTCTGCTTGGAGACACTCTCTCAAACTCGGTAAAATTTCAGTAAACATAAGAAATTGAAGGAGAAGCTCTGTTGCAGCTCATTTGTCTTTTACTGGACTTTCCTTACTGGTTTTAAGGGTATCAGGTTGCATAAAAAGTACCAGGCCCAACGCCTTATATCAAGAATGCTGACATTTTTCTGCTTTTCTGATACAGGGCCACAATGCTGATTTTTGATCAATCTGGGCCTTTATTATAAACAGAAGTAAATTCACTGACACAATCATAAATCAGTAAATTGCTTTAGTGAGTCAAATGCATTTTAGATAATCGCTTCACAGAAAAACATATTTATCCTTGAATGTTTTTTTCTGTCTCTCTTTTGTATTAGGTCCTATCCTTCATGGCTTAAAACTACATGTTGCTGATGCTTGCCAAAATGTGAGGTAAACTACAGTGCATAAGATGACTACAAGAACTCTGAGGTATGTTGAATAGGACAGTGGTTTCTCATCCCTCTGCCTTCCAACCAAAGACTCTGCTCAAACAGGAAAAGAAAAGTTAGAGTTTCACACTGTAGGTCTCCACCCCATAAAACCTCAAACACCAAAAATAAACTGAGCACAAAAGGTATTCTAAAAAGACCACAAAACTGAAGTACTGTATATGGCATATTACCTTTTTAAATCATCAGGCTTTCCCCAACCCTGGATGAACATCTTGGTGAGGAGAAGCTTTCTGTAAAGAACATCCAGCCGGCTCACACCCATCAGCAATAGCAAGGCATCTGAAAAGAACGAGAATGAACAGAATGTTAAATCAATCTTGCACAAAGCAAAGTGATTACAGCACTCTGAGAACACAGCATGTGATCACGTAGATCTTAGATTACCTTCACTCTGCGTTATACAACTTTAGTCACGATAACGTCACTCTCAGCTTACACTCTGCATAATTGCAGTATCGATGTCTCACAAATGGGCATAGTCAACAGCACACAAAAGGTTACACTGGTCCTGTACAAACTCCTCTGTCCGTCTGAACAGCTTTTACGGAATTTGTTTTTGCTCAGAGCAAGAAAATGGCTTACTGTACACTAGTGCCCACTGTCAGGGACACTTAAATGAATACAAGCAAATATTTTAAAATACAGATCACACATACTCTGAATGGGGGATTATGCAGAGTATACAGATTTGTAAGGCAGGGAGATGTGAAATTGCTTTGTTGAACTGACATCTCACTAGAGGTCGGTGGTTTCCCATTCAAAATGGAATGGATCACAGAAACTGTGTTTAATCAGAAATATGGCCCAAAATCCCTCCTGAAGGAGAAGAAAGCAGGGATCCTGTGTTATGCTGCAGCTGGAGTTATGCTGCGCATGTCGAGATCTCTGGGATCTTCGGGAGAACGCGGAGAGATGAGATGGCAGTGAGACAGCGAGAAAGGAAATGCGCAGGAAGGCGAGGGGTTAAAGAGTGAGAAAAGGCTGCAGTTCGCTGGATGAGAACTGTAGACAAAAAGGCAAGGAGACCACCAAGGGAGGTCTTGAACAGCCTGAACTGCTATGCTGAATTAGATGTTTGACTGGTGGACTGGCTGCCTGATTGAAAGGCAGCCTGTCCAATATGGAGACGGCCAGACCTCGTTTGTACAGAGCTGGTGAAAGGTCCCTGAAGAGTGCATGAAGCCTCTGGTCACCCCTGCCAATGGGTGGGACATGACCTGCTCCCAGCCCAGGCATAACACCCACCAGCTGGAACAGGATATGCACTGCATGCATTTCTTTCTACACTGTCACACTGCACATGTCAGATCTTCCGCACCCATGGGATCCAACACAAGCTAGCTTTGTTTTACTGCGCATTTATGGATGATTTTCTCAAAGAGGTGTGCAATGTTCTCAATGACTTTTGTAATATCTGCAACACTAATTTGTCCAGTTGTACAGATAATCAAGGCAGTCTGTTCAGTGGTGCAAGTATTCACTGGCTGTAATCAGCCTGCGAGTCCTTGCATTTAATCAGCACTCTCTTGTCAAACTCATTTTCCATGCACTTTACAACTTTAAATGGAAACCAATACCATCTAATGAGAAACTCCATAACTTTGTAATGCTTTTACATCCTAAAAGCAGGACATATCTGAAAAGATATGGAGCATGTGATATAAAGTGACTTAAAAATGGATGCTCTCCATGCTAGACATAGTGGGCTTAGTACACAGCGGAGGCTGAAGTCATATATGCCTTTGTAAAACCTGAAAATGACACTGATGCAAGGAGTTCAAGGGAGACTAATATGCTCTCTCCTTTTAGACAGAATTTGAATGCTGAAAGGCAGAGTTTTTTTCCTTTTTCAAGAGCTATTAATCTTATTCTTTGCTCTGATCAGCATGTGACCAAACAAAGGCAGTGAAAAATCTAACGTAAGGGTTGGAGAAAGAAAAACTAGCCAAGGAGGGAGTCTGGATCAGCACTGTGAAGAAAACCGTGCAAGACAATGATGAATCCAGGTCATTCAGAATCGACTTCTAAACTCATCTAAACCCAGACTGTTGCAGTCAGGCATGAGAGAGAGCAGATCTTCTCTCTACTTCTCTCTGTGAGATTTACCTAACAGGTTGTATCCAGATGGGACAAGTTAAAGGTTTATTCCCTGCTGAAAAGAGAAGAAAGGAAACACAACGTTTTGGCTGCGGAGCCTTCTTCGGGTTCTTTTTCAAAGCTCCGTTTTCTGCTCTTTTCAGCAAGGGAATAAACCTTTACTTGTTCCTTTGCAGCCTACGCATGCTGACGCAGCTCCCTACTTGAACTACTTGTATCTAAATGGCAGTTTACCAAAACATTTACTCTCAATCAGTTTGTACTAAACATCTAACTGCAGGAAGAGTGGTGTTACACTGAAAATGAACAGTTTAAAAATGGTTGGATACATGTCAAATCTCTGCACGACTGAAGACGTTTTCATATCCTAATACAGTTAAAATTAAAGGCTTAACTGTTCTAAACAGACAGGAGGACACAGAAAATCGAAGAGTGCAGAAAATGGTGATATTTTTATACAAAATATCAATAAGGAGACAGAGCTGGGAAAACAACCAAAGTACCAAAACCACGGGAGAAACTTTAATGGAAATGAAAAGCAAAACCACTAAAATTCCAGAAGAGGAGAAACTCAACCCCAACAACAAGTAAGGCATTTTTTAGATATTTATAGCAGAGAATTAGACATAGTAATTAATATGATATCTAAAGGAAGATTTTAGACAATGTTACTCCTATTATGCAGTTAATTTATCACACAAAAGCCAAGTTTAAACTCTGACATCTCAAATAAAATGTAACATGTTTTGAATAGATTATTGTGCAATATCTAAAAAAGTAATTAAGACTCAATGGGGGAAATTACAAATAGAAATAGGTACCTGAACATGTGAAATTTATACATATTTATACATAATTTATGCTGAATTGCTTACTAACTTTTTTATATGCACAGAAAGGGTCAGTTAAACAGCAGGGATAGTTTCTTGTTGTTTCCACCAGAAAAAATGTTTGCACATAATGTATATTAAGCAATCTAGATATTGCCAGATGGGGTATTGACTATGTTGATGGTCAGCTCTGATAAGATTCCCAGAGCTGTTGTGTGCAACTGGCCACGTTCCACCACAGTTATGTTCAGGTTTCTGCACAGCAGTGACCCCTGACCTCACAGATGCTTATGAGCTTGCAGTGTTGCCAGGGATACCTGCACTTCTTCAATTAATGCAGAAGTTGTTACAGACTCTCAATATTGAGACCCTCAGCTGATAGTAAATCAACCCTCTAAATTTACGTTTAATTCTTAATTAATATTGTTAGTCTGTATGGATCACTTGGAGCAATTACTATTAATTCGGGAAGGTAATGTATCTTGCCTGATAAATTATATTTTTTTGGTCTTTAATAGCTGTTAAAAGTTACACTACAGGACTTTGGTCTTTTCCTAACTTATCATAAAAGCTGTGGGCACAGCCATATGTGTTTGGACAGAACTGCATACAATGAACTCATAACACAAAATGTTTTTTCTTGGCCAAATCTCTGATAACTATTCACCCAGTTGTATCTCAGAATGATGGACTGGAGCATGTCAAATCCTGCCACAATTAAATACCAGATTTTAAAGGTGCAGCTTGTAGAATTTATACAAATGCATCAACACTTTTGCTCATTTTATCTTAGTTTTCAAGTCTATTCTTCAAAATTCAAAGTACAGTAAGTCCCTTGCTGTCAAGTAATTTACTGCTTTGACGTTCCAATTTTATTTTTCAAAGAGTAGATGGGCTTGAACCAATACCAGTTGAATTTAAAGAAGCCAAAGATGTTATTTATGCTTTTCCTAGAAGAACATCATATAAATGGGTGGGTCTGACATTTGTCTTTTGTCATTTGTCTCTCTTCCTGATATTCTGGTCTCGCATTCTACAATATGATGAGAATGCTCTACTCAGTGAACAACCTGAAAGGACAAATTTTGGGGGGATTCTAGAATGATAAAGAAAGTCATTCTACAAAACGTATGACCAAAGTATAAATATATTTTCAGATTGGGGTTTATAGAAGACTTATTACTACAGTTGCCAAAACTGTGGTATTTGAACATTTGGACAGAATTATGGGTTCAACTGCTTAATTTTTGCATCAAAAGCAAAAACATGTTTATATGTATTTGTCATGGAGTACCTTTCCTTGTGATGCCACACTGAGGTAAGCTACTGTCCCTGAGAAAGGGAAAAATGTGATTGTTTCGAATGGACATTTGAAAATAACAGTATTACAGTACTTTGTCTGATATAATACAGTGTTTCCTGGCTTATTACTGCTGTCCACGCAATCTAATGACATGTCCTCAGTGGCAACTGGGTATCTTAACTTCATTTTATTTTTCTGATGGTGTTCTCAAAACAGCTATTTGTGTATTTTCTAAGATACTTCCGTATACCACTTCATTGTCACTGTATGACAACATCCCCACAGTGGTAAGTATTTTGAGACTATCTGAGACTTCTGGGACTGCACTTCAGTGTCCCCATCAGGGAACAGGAAGTGGTCTACAAACCCCAACAACATTTGCAAAGACACAAATGTGACAAAACCATGCTGGTTTTCTATTAGTTGTGGTTCTGTACGATAGATTCCAGCCACTGTTGGAGAGACACAATTTTTGGAAATGTCAAAATGAGAATGAGACTTTTCCCTGTGCAGCACTGCACACCACAGTGTCAATTTGCCAAGAGAAAGTGATATAAAAACACCTAAAACATTAGCAAAGTGAATGAAGAACAGTTGAGTGATTCCCTACTCCACGGATATCTGTGAAGATCTCGAGAAGGGCACTGCAACCCTGGAAAAGCCCATTCCTGCAGGGTTTCTAAACTGCCAATCATAAATTTCGAAAGGCCTCGAACAATTCAACGGTAATCAATTATACAGGTAATTTGTTAAATTAATTTAGAAATCATATGGAACAGATCAGTATACCCTTCAGTTCTCAAAGATCAGTTTCTTAAATTGAACAAATTACTTTTCAAACTAACTGATAATTTACAATCAAATGTGTGTTCCTAACCCTTAAAACAAATACATGACTTGGGTTCACCTACAATAGAGACTGTGGGGGCAGCGTAGTCCAGTCTAGTCTGGACACATGACTTGTGGGCTGTATGCTCATCAAGTCCCCTGCTGTAGACACTGTTGTCGAACCTTGCGTGAGCTACTTTACTCCAGTTGCTCCAGTCCACCCCAGCTGTGTTAAGTGAGGACCAGCACTGGTGGGGTTGAACTGTGTGTCCTGTCCAGGGAGGGTGTCATGTGCTATCTGACTGCCTAAAGCTCATGATAACCTCTTCCCTGATCAGTCTATTGTGTGTGTGGCTCAGATGGAATTACTTATTTTAAGTTAAAGATAACTGTCCTGGCTAAATTCTCTTTTAAGCTTGTTCAGTCTTCCTTACCTAACCCCCCACTTAACTGGACTGGTGACATTTTGACTTCCCCTCCCAATTTGCTTTATAGCAGAACAGAGTGGTTGCCCTTCACCCAGTACCTTACTTACACCTTACCTTACTATTATAAAGCACTTTGGGATCCTCATGAATTAAATGTTACAGAAATGGAAGAAATTATTATTTTGGCAGCACAGAATATGCATGTGCATTAGTTTACCAGCTACTGTACATACACAGGAAACACAACCTACATATGTATTTATAAACGATTAGGGTAAAAAACGTGAACATAAAATACATTTGGAAATCATGTATGAACTTGTAGTATGATTTATTTCATAGTTCGGCTATGTGAATAAAACACTTCAGATCGAAAGTAAAAGCACTATTCGCAAAAAGAAAAGAATGTTGCATCTGTTAACACGACCAGAGCAAGCTCGGAAATCTTATTCACTTCTACTTTTGTAAAGAAGTAGATAATTCGTCTCCACCTAAAAAAAAGCTTGAAAGCTACAAAAAGCCCACACATCAGTCACGATCCTCATTGTGAACAAAAAACTTGCGGAACTTTTGCATGGCGCTGCAGTTTATTATATTTAAAATAACCACACATGTTAACTGGCATTGTAATTAAGATCTCCCCGTATGCAAATTATTCGGAGCTACTAAAAGCCTTGTTTAATTTAGCACTAGCCACAGGATATTGAATAAGTGTTCCGATAACCATTTGCAAAAGGGGTAGGTTGCGGCGTAAAAACCACGTCCTGCTACTACAGTGTAAACTAGCACCTCATTTAGCTTCGGCATGGGAAGACATCACCTTCGTGTTTCCTTCTTCGTTCGGCAATTCTCGAAACACCGATTCGCCTTGCATGTCAATGACAGGTCACCTTTACTCACCCAGTGCAACACGGGTTTCCAAATTTCGGACTGTATCAAAGTGCATCCATCTCCTTGGCTTTGAGTGATATTCTACAGTGCAGACGTGTTCCCGAATGTAAAACAGGAAGCTTGCATTTTAGACATAATAATAAAAAATATATATTTTCGGGGACTACACAGTACAGGTAAAGAATGCAAGAACTCCGGCCGAGTTGTTCCTCGATAGAGTGTGACCCCGGCAGCACATGCCGAGGAACCAATGAGTGATGGAGACAAAGTTCAGGAAGCGCGTCAGACACACGGTTTGTTCAGGCTGCTGCTTGCTCGCGGTTTGGTGGTGTGGGCAGCAAGATCTAATCTGTTAGGCAACTACCTTTGGACTTTTAAGACAACTGATAGAAACGGGACCTATCATTTTACCGGGGCTACTGACAGAACCCCCTCCCCCTTAAATATGAGTATAAATATCCGGCTAAGTCGGTGCACGATTTTGGGAGTGAATCTGGCGCGCTGTGTGTGAGGAAGAGAGATCTGAACTAACGCATATACAATTCTGTAGATCCGCAAAACAGTTCATATCAGTTGCAATGTCACGCCTGGAACCTGATGAGAACACCCCTTTGTTAAGGGATGAAAGTGACAGGTAGGTAAAGTGCAAGAAAAACAATTGCTTAACTCGGGAAAATCTCCCAAGCTTAAATACTTTAATACATTAATAGCTCTGCGGGTTTCCTTTTTTAAGTAGTTTCTCCCATTTCTTGATTCTGTCGAGGTAGACAATGGGCATGAGCTAATCTGATCCTGCACAACTGTAGCTTTTATATTTAGTCAGAAATACCCACCCTTTTGTACTGATCTAAAAGGTGTACAAGAGTCGTTTTCTGATAAGGCAGGAAAACATCCATGTGTAAGTTTTGAAGGTGATTGCTTTACGATTAAAACGTAGTAGAATAGTTTTGATTACATAATTAATTGGCTCCTTTATGGTTTAATCAAGCTTACAAACAAGGAAAGCTTTGTGTAAAAAAAGCTCTGTGAGTATTAATTGATATAGTGCCTTTCATCCTAAAGGATCCCAGAGTTTTTTATATATAGGAGGGAACCCACTTCAGCCAGCACTGACATGCAGCCCCCACTTGGGTGACTCACGGTAGCTGTTTATTATGCTGTAAGGTGAAGGAATGCCGGAAGCCTAGGACTGTCTTTTGATGTAACAATGACTGTGTTATGCTTCAAAGGAACAAGTCAAGGTTTAGTCCATGCCGAAAAGGAACACATTTCGGCTTGACTTTTTCCTTTGCAGCCTACGCCTGCTGATGCAGTTACCTACTTGAACTGCTGTGTTATGTTTCTTTTTATTTATAAACAGCTGTTTGCAATACAGTACATCTTGTGGTTTGGTCCATTTGATTTGTGCTTTATAGGCATCAGAAATGTGGCAGGTAGCAATCCTCAAATTAAACTGAAATTAATATGAAGAGGAAAGACAATTAAATGCTATTTAATTGCACCATTTTAGTTATAAACCTGAAAATACCTTAGATACACGTATAAGACATTTCAAAACCAATTAATTGGGAATTTAGCCAAATATTTGTAAAACTCCGCGAAGCAGATGTGTCCCTGGCTGTGACATGAGTTACACTCACTTGCTCTCAAAGTAATTTATTTTAGCTGAGCTGTCATTAAGTAAAGGGGAGTAGAAGTGAATTTGAAAGACTGTATGTGTATATTGTTCTGTGTATGGTGCATAAGAGTGCAGTAGTTTTAGTGATTGTTATCCAGTTGCTCCCACTGTTCTTTCAATAGTCCACAGAACACGCCTGTAAGGAATCACAAAGCACAAGTGTGAGTAATCTTTTTTTCCCCCAACATACAGTCTTCATTTGATCCTTTGCTTGGGAAAGACACGATCATGAATGGGAGGCTGATTTGTACATTTTCTTTCCTAGTACAAGGATTTATTTATCCTGGTAAACAATCCACTGTTGTCTTTTCTTTCCCTTTTCTGCCCTTTCCAGTGAGAAGGACATCGCAGAGACGCTTTCCGAGTACAGAAGCCGATGGAGGTCAATTCGAGTCATGTATCTCACAATGTTTCTCAGCAGTGTCGGTGAGCTCTTTGAGACGCCTGTACTTACAGTGATCAAAAACAGAACGGAGGCAAATTCTGTTAATTGCTTGTTTGAGTGGCTTACTGCATTGTAATAAAATCCAGTTTTCATGAGTTTGCTGTGAGAATAAAGCTGATGAAAACAACAGGAAAGAATTATGGGCTCATTCAGTGCCAGGTTTGTTTTAAACTGAACATTTATGCAACTAAATTCAAATCCACTCCTTCACATCTCAGCTGGCTTTGCTTACGGTTTTTGCTGGAGCAGAGATCGTCGTATTTTAACAATCAGGCGCTGTCTTGTTTCTTACCAGGTTTTTCCATTGTGATAACATCAGTTTGGCCATATCTTCAAAAGGTTAGTGCAATGCTGAACTTTTTGGCTTACTGTTTGTGGAGTTAGCTTTCAATATCCTGACTTTTATGAGCTGTAAGGAGGACAAATGTAGGATGTGTTCCAGCTGTATTTCGTAGGGGGCTGAAGACACAGAAAAGTAATGAAGCTCTTACAGTCTTGCTGCATGAAAGTATACTCATTCTTGTGCCATTTATGCAGGCTACTGATTTGGCTGTTAATCAGTCTTTTTTATCTTACTATATTTTTTTATCTGACTATCTTTTATCTTACTTTTTTAATCTTAGCAACACAATTATTGTATTTTAGCAATTGTACAGCATTATTATTGTGAGGTTATATATTCTCTGTACACCAGTAGTAAAAGTATAATCACTTTTAGTGTAAAAGGGTATGCATTTTTAGTATAAATGGTAACTTACAAACAGGTGCAGTAATTGGAAAATAACAGCAGAAATGTGCACATAATACTACATTTAGGATTTTTAGAATCCTCTTAGATATTCTAAAGCTGAGATTTTCCTGTTAAATGAAAGTTATTCAGAGAAAATACAGTATGTAAAAGGTTAGTGGAAATTTAGATAAAATACTTTTGTCATGGAAAAAGCTAAAATACAAAATATTGTATATAGTTTGTAGGAGCTTCTGAGAGACATTTCTTCGTCTAAAATGTATTGGCATTGAAGGGCAACAGTCAATGTTATATTGCGTGATGTATTCGAGTTGGTATATAGTTTTTCAGTAGAAAAACTAATTTTTACCCTGGATGATTCAAGGGTCTCTCTGATCTTTTCTGCAGGTGAGCACTAAAATAAAACTTGACATTTTCTGTTGTTGCAGTCTTTCAAACCATAGCTACTGGATAGCAGGCAAATGGAGAACTAAGGGAATTTTTGGAAAAGGCAGAAGATATCAGTTTTTTAAAAATCACTGTACTCAACCACAGTACCGCTCTATATTTAAAATGGATAAGTCAAAATGAAACAGTCGCCTCTTACAGAAAGGACCTGCTGTAGAATAATGGAAGCTTTTAATTCCTAGTAGCTGTTTCACCCTGCAGCAACTAAGGTTGCTGCTGGGAGAGGTGTTAGTGGGGCCAGCAGGGGCGCTCGCCCTGCAGTCTGTGTGGGTCCTAATGCTCCAGTATAGTGATGGGACACTAAACTGTAAAAAGGCACTGTCCTTCAGATGAGACATAAAACCGAGGTCCTGATTCTCTGTGCTCATTAAAAATCCCAGGGTGTTTCTCGAAAAGAGTAGGGTTATAATCCTGGCATCCTGGTTGAATTTCTCCCTGGCCTTTACCAATCATGGCCACCTAATAATCCCCATTTCTGAACTGACTTCATTTCTCTGCTCTCCTCCCCACTGATAGCTGATGTGCGGTGAGCGTTCTGGCTCACTATGGCTGCTGTCGCATCATCCAGGTGGGGCTGCACATTGGTGGTGCTGGAGGGAGAAACCCCATTACTTGTAATGTGCTTTGAGTGCAGTAGAAGTGTAAGCAATTATTATGGTTGTTGTTATTAAATGTAGTATGGTGTTCTTCAGCTATCCCTGCAACATTTTTTCTCTTCTGTTATTCCATGTGATCCTCAGATTGACGACAGTGCTGATGCCAGTTTCCTGGGCTGGATTGTGGCAGCGTACAGTCTTGGGCAGATGGTGGCATCCCCTCTGTTTGGCCTGTGGTCCAATCACAGACCCAGGAGAGAGCCTATCATAATCTCCATAATAATCAATGTGGCAGCCAACATCCTGTACGCTTATGTGCACCTGCCCACTTCACACAACAAGTACTACATGCTAATAGCTAGAGCCTTCGTGGGCTTCGGAGCAGGTAACTGATTGTAGTGATATTGTTCTGGGAATCCCAGTGTTTCACATATTGCATATGGCAATGAACCAGTAATGATTATTTCTAATCAAAGCAGCAAAATTAAATTTTTCGATATTTTTAAAATGGTCTTAACATACAGTCTTTGTGAAGGCTGCTTTTCTTAAAATCTGCCATCTAAAACTGTTTGGTTGATTGAAGCCCCAACTCTTCCACCCAAAAAAACATATGTCCCTAAATGATTAAATAGAATGCTTCACCATGTCTCTAGAAATCCATAATGTCTTTCACAATATTTTAAACTGATTCTTTGTCTAACCAGTTGGAACTTTTAATGCGTACCGCACTGTATGTCATTATTTCAAGACTACAACATGATACAGAAATAAACATTTGCAGGATGAATGTATAGCTTGCTGTAAACCAAATGTAAATTCTGAATAATATATGTACTAGTGCTAATTTTAAATAACTTGAAAATCAGAACACGTCCTTAAATTTCTCTTTTAATTGTAATATACCCATTCCTCCAGGCTTTGTTCTGGACCTAAACAGAACGTGATAAGAGTCCTTCGTTTCATAGTTTTTTCTCCTTTCTTTTCTGAAGGGAATGTGGCCGTTGTGAGATCTTATGTTGCTGGGGCGACGTCTCTCAAGGAGAGAACCAGTGCGATGGCAAACATGAGTGCCTGCCAAGCCTTAGGGTTCATATTGGGTCCAGGTAGGGTTCTTCCCAGACTTCTTTCTCAAGTGTCTGTACAGCATGTGTTCATCTTCATCAGAGGACCTGGTGCCATTGTGCTGGGGCATCTGACCGATAAACAAGCAGCCTGGAAGTCAGACACAAAAAAGGCATTCCTTTCATTGACTTATTCCTTTTATTGATCATACAATTCAACCAGTGGGAATTAAAGAAGAAAACAGAAATTGGTGCCAATGTGTGGGTGTCAAAATTGGCTCTGTTCTCAAATTAATTTCTCTACAAATTGAGTTATGTGAATTTTATTTCTGATCTCTTTTCAAAATTCACAGCGTTTTTATCTGATATAAAGCATTTCACATCTGATATGTATGGAAGCCCGTCTCCGCCAGGGAGTAAAAAAAAAAAACGCGCTATGGTATCTCAGAATTGCGACTTAGTATCTCAGAATTGCGACTTCGAAATATCCCATATTTCATTGTCTGTCCTTTTGTTATTGTAACGGATTCGGGTTCTAGGGCTTGTGCTCTCGCCGCTCCCACCCTAGTTCGTGCCTCGCTGCACTGGCTCGAACCTGAGTCTTGCCAGCTGAGCTAAAGAAGACCTTCTTTTTTAAATACAAAAGGACATACAATGGAAATACATAAAAAGTATGTTTCAGCTTTTATAATTGTGAATTCTTCTGGATGTGAAGTGCCTATTTCTGTATCTTATTTCATATTCTGTCTACGTAAATAAAAACTATTTTTAAAAAGCCCACCGTCCACTATTCCATCCGGGTACTATGGAAGCCTCACTGGCGGAAATGGGATTCTATAAAAATTAGTGTAATTAATTTGATTTTTATCAGGGCACTGTACAGGACAAGTCTTCAGGCTTCTAGATCCTATGATCCTGTACGATTCAAGAAAATAGTGTAACGGAACGGCCGACATACAGGTTGTACGATCTGGTAGCAGTACACCACCCTCCCCCTGCGCATAACAGGGATGCTGGCCGCCAGGGTTAAAGAAAGTGTTCTTAAAGAAAGTGAGCCAGTGCAGCGAGGCACGAACTAGGGTGGGAGCGGCGAGGGCACAAGCCCTAGAACCCGAATCCGTTACAATAACAAAAGGACAGACAATGAAATATGGTTATTTCGAAGTCGCAAATGTGAGATGCTAAGTCGCAATTCTGAGTTGCTAAGTCGTAATTCTGAGATACCATAATGCGTTTTTTTTTTACTCCCTGGCGGAAACGGGCTTCCATAGATATGACCTATTACATTTTAACTTTTTTTTTTCTATGTCTGTAAGCTGTTAAAACATTTTTGATCTTGGTATTTATCTTTGCATATGAACAACTTTATTGAAGCTTATTAATGTTCTACTCTTTGCCGCTAACTTTTATCCATTTTTTGTCCCACTGGAACTGCATTCGATACCATCTTGCTGTGTGGAGTAGAGAGAGCAGTTGTTATTACTGGAAGTTCTTTGTTCCGTTTTAAATATTAACTGAATAATAGTTTGTTCAAAGTGGGTATTTTTCCCTCTTCTCATCTGGCACTTGGCAGGGCCCTTCCATTTCCGTTTCATTTTAGTGTCTCTGTGTGACCACTGCTTTCTTATGCTTATGGCATCGCTTTTCATTCCTCTGCTGATGACAACCAGATTTGTAATGACTTAACTTAACCGATCAAGAATATACATGTGGATGTTTGGCTACCATGTGTGGCCAGTGTAATCTGTATGCCCTATGGCATAGAATCTACCTGCATCTGGAATTCTGCAGGAGGGATATAGCGCCATTCTTCCATGAGAGAGCCTGGGTGACTCAGTCACAGGCATCTTTCCAGAATATCCCATAAATGCCATAAATGTTCAGTTCTAGTGACTGAGAAGAGCGTAACAGCAGTGCTGTGCTCATCAAACCCCTAGGTGACCACGTGCTCTTGCCATTGTCATCCAGGAAAACACCTCTCCCAGCAGGAAAGAAATGCTGCAAGACAGGGTGAAAACGATCAGTCAGTACCATTAAGTAGCATTTAGTTCTGACCACGCCTTCTAAGGGAATTAACGTACCCAATCCATGCCAGGAGCAACCATTTCAAACAATAGAAGCTGTACATTTCTGACACATGCTTTACTCCAGGTTGCGGAGGAATTCTGCCCCATTCCTTTATAGACGTCACTTGTATGTCTGAAGCGACATTGCCATGTGGGCAACGCCCACATGTTCTGACGTCATTGTGGTTGGTAGTTTCCTCATAGCCAATGTTTATAAACCGCCCAGCAACTGGGAACACAAGTGCTGCCTTCCCTTCCCCAGCCAGCCGTCTTTGTGGGAGACTTTAACACACATCATCCAGACTGGGATTTCCCAGCACCAGAAACTGATGGCGAGGTAGTTGTAGACTGGGCATCAAGAAATGGCCTGGCACTTGTTCATGACCCCAAACAATGAGAGGCATTCTATTCAGCTGGAAGGAAGAAGGACTGCTCTCCTGACCTGTGATGGGTGAGCTCTCTACTTGGAGCACCCTTCCCTACATAGAGCCATGTCCTGTTTTTCGACTTCTCCAGTCGAAAAGTGCCTTCAATACTATCCAGCCCTCACTCCTAAGGAGAAAGCTGGAGGAGATGCAAGTCGGTGCCTCCGTGATCTCATGGATCACTGACTATCTGACAGGCAGACCACAGTCTGTGTGTCTGAACAAGTAGTAAGTAACACAGGGGCTCCTCATGGAACACTTATTTCTCCATTCCTTTTCAACCCTCTATACTTCGGACTTTAAATACAACTCAAAGTCATGCCACCTGCAGAAGTTCTCAGATGACTCTGCAATTGTGGGATGTATCAGGGGTGAGCAGGAGGGGGAGTACAGAGGACTGGTCAGCAGCTTTGTGGGGTGGTGTGGAGAGAACCACCTGCAAGTGAACATGGCAAAGATGAAGGAGCTGGTGGTAGATTTCAGGAGGAAAAGGGTCAAACCTACTCCTGTCTACATCCATGGGAGTAGTGCAGAGATGGTGGACTCGTACAAGTACCTGGGAGTGCATATCGACTATAGACTGGAATGATCTAAGAACATCAAGGCCATTTACAATTTAGAAGTTTCAGGTCATTCATTGTGTGTAGTAAGATGCTACATATGTTCTATCAGTGGCGAGCGCCATTTCCTATGCAGTGGTATGCTGGGGTTCTGGGATTAGAGCAGGGAATTCTAACAGGCTGAACAAGCTCATCAGAAGAGCAAGCTTTGTCATTGGGTCTGGTCTGGACCCCCTGGAGGTAGTGGCTGAGAGGAGAATGGTGTCCAAACTAGAGGCCATCACGGACAACGTCTCCCATCCCCTCTATGACATGCTTGTAGAAATGAAGAGCACGTTCAGCAATAGACTGATCCATCCATGGTGCGACAGGGAGCGCTACAGGAGGTCATTCTTGCCTTCTGCCATAAGACTGTACAACGCATCCACCTTGCGTCTGGGCAGAGGCAACATTGACAGTGACCTGTTTCTGGACTGAAGAGTAAACTGCTACATCTGTTCTTTTTCTTTTTCCCGTTTACAACCGTTTTTGTGCAATATATGCCAGGGACTTGCACAATATAAATATAAATGTATTGCACAATACAACTTTTTGTGTACTGTTCTGTTCTGGTTTGTTCTTTGTGTGTTCTGGACTGTGAGTAACTCTTCTTAGTGCACTTCTCACTGTACTGATTGTATTGTATGTATTGTATTATTATTATTGTATCATTCATTACACTGTTGCTGTGTTGTCTGTGTTAAGCTGCTGTTGCACTGCAATTTCCCTCACGGGATCAATAAAATATCTATCTAGATAATTTCCCACCCAGCCAACACCTCTAACCACGCAGGCCTATGCATCCCAATTGTCAACAGCCCAAAATAGATCAGGTGAATCCTAAAAAGAGCGTACTGGAACAAGTACAGTGAAACTCTTTGAGTGCAGCATTCCAGCAATTTCACTGCAAGATATCACTGTAGATGTCGCATACAGCAGGCTCTGTGGTGCTGTCTACAAAGCTGCCTGCTCCTCAATCCCACGTGGCTGTCAATCCATTCACATCCAATGACTGGACAATGAGAACGCAGCCCTTTTAATGGAATATGAAGCAACAGGAGACCCAGAGATAGCAGATCGTCTTATCAAGTCCCTTAACGCGGTGCACAGGCCTAAGTGGGAGGAGATCTCAATCACAGATCTCAAATTTACCTGCTCCATCAGGAAGTGCTGGAGCCTAATATGCTGGCATGGAGCTGCTCAAAAGCCACCCATAACAATCCTATGCCACTCCTTCGTCACTTACAAGCAGGTCTCCAGCCCTCTGCTTGCTATTGCCAAAGCACCCTTGGACAAAAATGCCAAAAGCAGAGTGAGGGGTGTATTAACACAGACCATCTGACCCACAGAAGTAACACAAGCACTGCCCCTTTTGAAGTCACAAAACTATACAGTTTTTCTGCGGGACTTGAAGTACTGCAGAACAGCAGGAGACACCATGTGTTTTAAAACCAGAGTTTATAAAACACCTCAAAGCCATAAGCTCTCATCTGGCTGACCCAGTTCTATGCACTCGCCATGATCTCCAACACCATCCCAAAGATGATGATGAGCAAAGCTTGGCACCATACCTAAACCTGGAAAAGTCCCCAAGGTTTCATCCAGCTATCTATCTATCCCAATTTCCTTCAGGTCAGTCCCATACAAAATCCTCCAGCGCCTCATTTTCCAATGCATAACACCAGTTGGAGAAGTCCTCAGTGTGTCCACCAACACAAACCCCCAGTTTCAACACCTTGAGCCAGGTCCTAAATGAGGACATATTACTGCAGCACAACTCAAACCAAGCCCTGCAAAAACATTATCCAGTCTCTTCCACTTCTGAAAAGCAAAAGCAACAAAACAGCTCAACATTCAGATGAACAATCAGAAATTGCAGCACCATGCTTTTCCTTTTGCCTTGGTGGGACTCTAGACAGGATGCTTATCTTCCGGGAGCACTTACTGTAAAGACGACAGCAGCCAAGGTCAAAACAAGGAAACACAGTCTGATCTCTAAACTTGCTGATAGTCTATATGACTCTGCCTCTACCATCCTCAGTCATTGGCATTCAGAGCAGCAGTATACTGTGCTCTTCTCTGGTCCAGATTATCACTTACAGAGTAGACACCCAGCTGAATGCCACCATGTATATCAGCACTGGAACTCTACAGTCCACTTCACCTTAAGAAGGCTCTTGTCTTCTCTTTTCAGCATAGAATAAACCTTTACTTGTTCAGGTGCAGTCTACGCATGCTGACGCAGCTACCTACTTGAGTTCTGAATGTGCTGCAACGTGTTTTTAGGAATTCACTATCACTTACTGTAATACAAAACTCAAGGCCTGAAAAACCAAATACCATCATCAACATGCCATCCAACATCCAGCGTCCCTGTGTGGGGGGAAAAAGTCAACTCCTCCTTAGATTCAGTAATTGGTTGCATCACCTATTAACTGTAATAACTGCAACCAAATGCTTCCTGTAATTAGTGAACAGACTCTCACCATCGCTGTTTGGGAATTTTGGCCCATTTCTCAATGATAAACTCCTTCAACTCAATGACATTTGAGGGCTGCCTCGCACGAACTGCTGGTTTCAGGCCCTGCCACTACATTTCTATGTGGTTTAGGTCTGGACTTTGACTCAGCCATTCCAAATGTGATGGTTCAAGCCACGGCTTTGGCCAGGGCCTGCTCTGGGAGTGAATATTGGACACATCTGGTTTCATTGCCTAATTAGTGCCCTTTGTGACGAGCACCAATGGAGGAAAAAGAACCGATGTGATCTGTCACATTGCATAGGATTAACTAAAGTTATATTAGCAGCCAGGTGACCTTAGGCTAGGGGTCTGTGTCTAGGTTTATGCAGTGCAGGGTGAGAGTGTGGTGGTAGGTAGTTTAGATAATGGGAATAACTATATATCTCCTATATATCTAGGGAATCTTAATGTGAAAGGGCTAAGCCAGGTAACATGCAGCAGAACTGCTCTCTGGAGACCTGGAACATTAGTCTTCCATAGAGGGGAAGCCTGACTGTGAAGGGGAAAGCCAGCTTATGTGTGTCAAGGTGTTCCAGGACAGGAGAATGAAAAGTTTACTTTTTTTTTTAGTGGAGAGTCCTTTTTGGAGCAATTGGGTTCTCTAACCATAGAACATTCCTCCAAAACTCTGGATAATGATTCAGATGATCAGATGTTTTTTGTTAAACTTAATCATTCTTGAACATTAGCCAAGACAAGGGAGGACTGCAGGTCCCTGGATATTGTTCTGGTGTTTTGTTTTACATCCTGCAGCACTCTTTGAGTGATTTATTGGTAGGATGTCTGCTCTTGGACCCACATTAAGCTCAGAGAACATTGTGTGGCAGAAATATGCACAAATTCAAATAATCTGAAAGGGTCCAAATACATTTTCCTGGAAAACATGGTACAATGTAATGAGGAGGAAATTGGACATCTTCACAGCAGTGTTAACAATGACCCAGTTTAATTAGGATGCCACAAGTTTTGACCTGTGTACTTGGATTGATTGATTCCAAGACCATCAGTAGTTAAACTAAAGTTGACAAGGAGAGCCAATCAGCACTGTGTCAGTCTTGTAGAGTTCAAATATGGATGAATCACTTTCTTGTACTTTTTACATCATTCAAGTGCTGTGACAAGGCAGATGCAGGTAGAGAAAAAAAAATGGAAACACCCCAGTAAAGGAGAGGCACCAAGATCATTTAAAATAAGGCCTTCCACACTGATTTCTTATGTGTTAATTGAGGGCAGAATTGAAAATATGTGAAACCAAGAATATGAAGCACTAATTTACCCAAAGAGTTGTGGGAGTATGGAACAAGTTACTCATCTGTGTTTTGAAAATACCCTGGCATGTTGCAGTGTTGCAATCATCTGTCGCTGTGAACATCTGTCTCAGCTTGGGTTGACAACTCTTTGGCCTGAATCTGAATCAATAAGATGTTCCCCTAGAATTCCTTTAATCACCTTTTTCAAAATTATTTTTTAAATCCTGCTAAGCATTTTACCAGAAGATTTAGAATGTGGCTCAACAGTGCTATGCTTACTTTCCGGTGATGAGCACTTAAATGCACCTTAACCTTAAATGCTGATTCCAAGTTTTCCATTCTAGTATTGTTCTGTTTTCCAGCTTTACAGGCATGTTTGTCTTTTATTGGAGAGACTGGCGTGTCCTGGGACCTTATTGCTCTGCAGTTCAACATGTACACCTCACCCGCCTTGCTGGGTGCGCTGTTGGGTGTTGTAAATATTCTTCTTGTGGTCTTCGTGTTAAGGTAAGCCAGTAAACAGTTACAAAGTTATGATAAAGAACAGCTCTGTCGATCCGTTTTTAGTTTTCTATTGTTCCAGAGACCCATGGTTAGCTTTTCCTTTGGATTAGCGAGGATGCAATAGTTTTACAACACAGCTTTTCCATCTCAGAACAAAACATGTTTGGATTTTGTGTGTAAATTCCTAGTGGGGTTGACGGTTTCTGCCCTGCTCCCAAGCCTAGACTTGGCTCAGAAATGAGAACTGCAGTGTGGTATTGTGTTCACAGTATGGAAATCTGAAATGAAGCCTTGAGACTGTTTTCCAATGTTTGTTTGTTTCTAGGGAACATCATGTGGATGACTATGGGAGATGCATTAACCCCATCAACTGTGTCCCAGAAGGTATTTGAAAATGAAGGATTTAAAATAACTGTTCGTAATGATGTTTTCTCTTTTGAGGCTTTAAGAAATAAAAAAAAAATAGTTTGGAGAGTGGCTGGCCACAGGGTGAATCATACATTCATACTTTCCAAGTAGTTCTGGTAGTTCTGTTCTCTAATCCTGCTGTATGATAAAGAAGACTGAATTTCTTTATTCATTCTGCCAAGTTTTTTTGCATCACCAGAGCTACTAGCTACTTTTCTTGTGCCCTGAGCAGTGTCCAGACAGAATCTGAAATCTGAAATTCATTTCCAAAGAACTTACCACTATACAGTTATTTGCTATAAAGGTGCTATTGGATTTTCTTATCCCATTTCAGGCGTAAAGTAACAGTAATCTAATTGATGTTTGTATAGACTGCTATAACTGCAAAGGCTGACAGAAGTGGTTGTTGTTTCAAGCAACAGCTCCCAAAACATTTTTTCACTTGCAAGTCATTGTGGTCTAGTGGTGGAGGTCTGATTGAAGGAGCTGCCCTTGTCTCAGACACAGTCACGTCTTGTCATTCAGAGAGAGAGAGCACGACAGGGGAATCCAGTGGCAGTATTGACCAAGTTGCCGTGGTGACGTTAAATGTCCTGTTCTTCGTCTTCCTTTTCATTTTTGCAGTCTTTGAAACGTAAGTTTTTCTCACACTTACTGTTATTTTTCATCCACCAATACCTACTAACCTTTTTTGCTGTGTATTTTTAAATGAATTGTCGTGTTATAGAGTTTACTTACAGTAATATTTTTTATGTTCTGTTCAACTGTACTCTAAATCTTTCCCTCCCCTTTACTTTGTGTGAGGTTAATCAGTACTGATTTCCTGTCTCTGTATTCTAGGATAGCCACACCCTTATCCATGGATATGTTTGCCTGGACAAGGACAGAAGCTGTGCTGTACAACGGCATCATATTGGCATGCATTGGGTTTGAATCCATCCTGGTGTTCCTTGCCGTGAAGGTGATTTCCCCAAGGTAATTTGAAGGTTAATGTTTGTATACTGTGTGCCTCTTTAGTTATTCTGTTAGTCCAGTTACAAGGTTGGAGTATCCACACAACAAAATTTCCGTGGGCGGCTTCCACTTTAAAATGTTTAAGCTACAGCACGTTGAAACAGGACACACACGACCTCTTCAGGAGTTTCAGATTATTGCAGTCGCAGGTACTGTACCTAGAGGGAAAATAACATGCACCATACTGTAATTTGTGAACATTTTGATATAAAGCAGATATCTTTTGGGGTACCATTGTACTTATGCAGTGACTTTGTAATTAAAGGCTTTTAGGTCATTTAAAAAAATGTTAATTGGATTAGCAGTACAAAGTTAATTGGTGAGCTGATGAGTCCATTTCATGAGATTTTCATAATTTGTCATGAAAGGCTTTGAGCTTTCCCAGCATGAACTGTTTTACCTCCTCCCTCCAACCAATCAGTGTCCTTGCTGGTGCTCCTTGGCTAAGTCCAGTGGGTTTTGGGAGTCTGGAACAAGCTACCTTGCCATGTTGTCGAAGCCGATACTCTGGCTTCTGTCAAGAAACTGCTGCATGACATTTTTCATTAATCAATTATTAATCATTAATCAGTGAGTCATTAATCAGAATCAGTTTTAACTACCAGAGTGGTAAGATGGGCCCAATGGCTTCTTCGCTTTGCAAACTTTATCAACATTCTTCTTCAGTTAATCCTAGTGAGGGAGTCCCTATCTCTTGACTCCATTGCCAGGTTGTTGTTCCATCCGGCCTAAAGGGTTAAATCCAGATCTGTATTTCAAGCTGTTTGTGCACTAAATCTCTGTACTGGGGGCAGCCCAAAGCTCTTGAATGAGAAGTCAAAAACAGAAAAGGGCAAGTATAGCTGATTTCTGGCAGCTCACTTTGCACTAAAAAACAATTTTGGTGTAAAACTAATGCGAAGGATGTGTTTTTGTTTTCAGAATTGGTGACCGTTTAGTTCTTCTTGGGGGAACAGTGCTCATTTTTTGCGGGTTCTTCATTTTGCTACCCTGGGGGAACCAGTTTCCTCAGATTCAATGGACAGGTAAGATTCAGACATCCAGAAAATAGATTCCAGTTGTATTTGTGAACCGCATAGCAAACCTGGTGACTCTTGAGATAGTAAGAAATGTGAAGATTTAAGAAGACTGTCTCAAAACTGTGTGAAGTCGAACCCACTGCACTCTCCCATGAAAGAAGTTATGAGACAATTTTCTTAAATCTACATATTTATTACTATCTCAACAGTCACCAATTTAATTTAGTTAATAAAAGTTTAAATTTTTCTTGGATGGAAGTACAAAGTGTCTCTCGGTTTCAAGGTTTTGAGCACAGGATGAGCTCCGTGGCCCAGATATTGTGTGATCGAGAGAGTCATGTCACTAGCCGACTGTGACTGCGATTGCTGAAGATGTGGCGCACATTTGGGTTTTGTTTAGTCGGCCCGGGCTCTCACAGGATCGGTGACTCCTGATTCTGTGAGAGCCCAGGCCGACTAAAGAATCCCGCAGGCTGTGCTCAGGACCAGCTCCTGAGAGGCACTGTGGACCTGTGGCAGGTCGCAACACGAATGTCTTGAACGATAGGAAGAACTTGTCTGCCCTTGTCAGTCTCCCCATGTAGTGCAGGAGTCAAGACTCACAGAAATACTTGGCAGTTTGAGATGTGGGGAGTCTGATTCCAAGTGGAAATGTAAAAGAAAAAACAGCGTTTAAGAATCCTTTTTCACACTGAGATGTTGTGCTGTATCTTCTGTGTGAAAATATCTCAGCTTGTTTTCTGCAACTCTCCCACTCATATTTTTATTTTACTTATACAATAAAAATAAATCATCCGTAGAGCTCATAGAGGAAAACCATTTGTAGCTAAAGTCGACCTTTTAGAAGAATGACTTTATCATCACAGCAGTCATTACAGATACCACAGGCTCTTAAAGAACGAGGAGTATTTTTTTCTTATTACTAACTGCTTCTTGCTGAAACATAAAGAGGGCTGTGGTAAATAACGACCTTAAATCCATGTGGTCTGGAAGGAAAAAAAAAATGACAGAATTGTTGTGAAACAATTTAGAGAAGCAGATTTTGCTGTTTTGTAATAAACGACCTGACATTCTGTTACATGACTGAAATTATACAGTAAGTATTATTGTAGTATCTATTTTATACCTTAGAGGTCATATGTACTGTATCTAAATACAAACAGCTCGGCTGTGCAACAGCAAAGAAAACCAGGCTATAAGGGGGAATGACAGGACAGCTCTTCTAACAACCACCAAGATAGTGCTGGACCAGTGTGGTTCAAGAGTGCAACAGTTCACTACAGTTCACAATGCCTCACATTCTGGTTCTGTGAGGTAAGAATAAAGGATGTCTAGTATTTTAGAAAAGTTCCAGATCCCCTAGCTAACTGAAGAAGAATTAGTTTACCAAAAAGAGTTTTTGTTCATTTACAGCTGTTAAGAATGTTCTGGAATGTTGTGGTGTTGGTGGGCTGATATCCAGTTTAAAAGTAGAACATTTCCCTGCTGTAGACATGAATTTCTGTCCTCACCCACCTGCTCAGCTTTAAAACATGTCAAGGGTCAATCACAGTGCCTGTAATCCATCCGTATTTTACCAGAGAGCTGCTAATTCACGGCACCCCAGAAACCTGTCCCTATCCCAGTTTATCACAGGGCGCAAGATGAAATGCACAATTTAGACAACAGTTATCCTAGGCAGTGCGTCCCTAATACGTGGGACAAACCTGGAGCATCTGGGAAACCCACACAAACATTCCAACCCACAGCTTTGAATCCAGCATCACTAGAATGTTACATTTACCAGGATGTGTAGGTGTTAAGTACAGACTTCAAACTGGAGTCCTCATGAACTCTTTCATGCTTTTTTTCTCCCTTTCTGTTCTTTTTGGTGACCACAGATCTCCAGAACAGCTCCAGCGCTGGGTCATTACAAGGTGGCTTCAGCTCAGTCCCCCCTGTGCCTTCAAACTCCTCAGTTGAGCCCACGGGCTGCCCATCCGAGCAGACCTGGTGTCTGTACACGCCAGTCATCCACCTGGCGCAGTACATCACCTCCGACTTCCTCATCGGAATGGGCTACCCTGTCTGCAACGTCATGTCCTACACACTCTACTCCAAAATCCTTGGGTCCAAGCCACAGGTCAGATCTCCACCCCGGCCCATGTATCTCATAAGCAACAAATTCTCATCCAAGTTCCGGGACGTGAAGAATGACAAAGCATTATGCTTTTAAAACGGAAAGCAGAAAAGGAATACTGTGATTTGCTTACACGAATGAGGTTGTTTTATTTTAAAACATTATGTGGTGGTGATTCGGTTTATTTCAAGTCAGTAGATCACAAGGCTATATCAAAGTCCTAAAATTAGCAAAACATACAGTACGTCTTTGAAGTTGCTATTTCAGACCACTGAAGTATCTCTTCAATCAAATAAGAATAACAAAGCACTTGTGCTAAAGTTCAAGATTCCAAAGAAACATTTTATTAATGTAAGGTTTAATCTACTTGCATTGTCAGGGTGACAGAAATACTTTGAGAGATCTTGTATGAGATGTGGTCATTTGGGGAGACGTCATTAAAGGAGTATCGCAGAGTCTGTATCAGGACCACTGCTCTTGCTAATGTATATCAGAGAACTAGATGCTGGGATAGCAAGTAAACTAGTCAAGTTCACATATAATACCAAAAGAGAAGTATTACCAAAACAGGGGAAGTGCATTTATAATGGCAAATATGTGGAACTTCTTTACACAAGGCGTAGTGGGGAAAAAGCTTTTTTTGAAATTGATACCCTGGTTTCTTTGAATCTGTCAGATCAATTAGCTGCTAAAATTAAATTTGAGCTAAATGGCCAATTGGCTGCCTCTTGTATGCAAACTTTGATTTATGCTCATTTTTAAACACTATATTGTAACTTATTCATGAGGTCTTGTATTCAGCAGTGGTCCATGTGAGCAGCAGTTTCAGAGCTGCAAAAGAACAAGTAGAAGATAAGTCCTTGCTGAAAAGTACAGCCAAAACGCAGATTTTAGAACCTGGTGTGGATTCACAGCCAAAACATTTAATTTTTCCTCTTTTCAGTACAGAATTAACCTCTACTTGTTCTGTATTATTCAACATTCTGTTTACAGTGGTGAAATACCAACTTCTTGCACTGAGAGTGATAATTTGCAGATAAACTGTGGCCTTAAGGAAGCAGTTCATTAACTGTCCATTGGGAGGAGTTGAAGAGTAATTTGAGAGTGACTAACATGAGAGATGCTGAAGTATATACTACTGTATGTTAATGTTTTGAATCCTCAGGTTTTTGCTGTGCCTCAGAGTCTTACCTTAAGGATGTTATTGTGATGACTTCTCAAACTGACATTTATGACATTCATGATAAAAATTGAGGTTTATTACATCTGTGTGTACAGTGGCTGTAATTTGGGGTTCCCCATGGCTCGGCTCTCTGTAACAGGAGTGTGTATGTGTGTCCACAGGGAGTGTACATGGGCTGGCTGACCGCCTCAGGCAGTGGAGCGCGGACACTGGGCCCTGTTTTCGTCAGTCAGGTGTACACCATCCTGGGACCTCGCTGGGCTTTCAGCCTCGTCTGCGGACTTGTCCTGGCCACCACTGTCCTCCTGGTAGCCACGTATAAAAGACTTATTGCTTTTTCTGTCAGAAGTGGACACATACAAGAATAGCCACCTTTGGACTACTAAGAACATGTTTTCATTTTCCCTGAGCTTGAGCGGGTGACACAGGTGAAGACGTTTGCCCAGGACCATGCATTCCATACTGTGAAGTGGGTAGTGCTGTAGATCATATCCATGCACTTTTATCATTTTATCGACTCCTTTTATCATTTAGCAACAAGATTGATGAAGTTGGAATGTTAAGTGCTGTCTTCAGTAGCGCTGCTTAAGACTCTTAGGCTTTTGCCTTGTTAAACATGCAGTATTGTTATTCCTTTAACACATATTATGGTTCTTCAATCCATCCACTTTCTCAACGCTTCTTCCAATTCCGGGTCATGGGGCAGTGGAAATCTATCCCAGCAAGTATTGGGCACAAGGCAGGATAGGGCACCAGTCCATCACAGGGCTGATTGACACACACTCACACCAGGGCTACTTTTTGCCTGAAGCCAGGTGACCTACCAGTATGTCTTTGGACTGTGGGTGGAAGCCCATGAGAACAGCAAGACAACATACAAGTTCCATGCAAAGTACATGTAATATAACTGCAAATGTGCAATATGTTTGAAAATATAGATAATTCTTAATCTAAAATAGTAAGACACTTATTAGTGACTGAAAATACTGTGCAATTATACATACTAGTTTATGGTTGGACTACAGGGTAATATAAGCAATTTGTTATAACACTGACAACACAAACTACTTATTAAGAGGGTTTATTATGATTCAGATCGTTTTCAGATCAGATTTGCACAGCTCCCTTTTAAGTTATTTTTTCAGTTCTTGTACATTTTAGTTCTATTGCAGTCACCATGCTCTTTCTCTTTACATTTTTGCTTGAGTGGCTAATTTTTGGTTTAGAATTTAAGCGAAAATGTGGTACTGGCACATTCCTTTAAATACACAGAATACTGTATAGTTGAGGTGTCATTGTGCATCTCAGTGCCTGTTCTAACCTGAGACTAACAGGTCATACACTAAATGTGTGAAGGAATGAAGACATACATTATAGGAAAAATATGATTTTTGTTTTACCACACTATCTTCCTACAACTCATTCCCGTACTTCAAAAACTGCCCTTGTTTTCCAATGCTTTTTTTTTCAGATTCATGTTTAGAGAACAACCTGTGGTTCAACCATGGAAACTTAACTTTTTTAGAGTATGGATTTGTATATAGTACAGATAGCATTGTAAATATAAATTAACATAGGAATGTCAGCCAACATGGGAAATTACTGAAAAGCTGCTGTAAATTATCATGCATTAAACCAAAGACTGTATATATAGCATACATTTAGCAACATGTAAATTAATTTAATCAATTTCCTTTCGGGATCAATAAAGTCTTATCTAATCTTTCTTCTTTACATACCCTTAACATGGAAGATTTGATGAAAGTTGAATGCTTTGTGATATGTTTAAACTTTGTACGAGAGGAGAGGGTGATAAAACATTAATGGAATGCACATTTTTAGTAATGGCTTTACTAATCTGAACTTTTAAAATTTAACACACAAGGAATTAAAATACAACATAGGTTAGAATTATTCCATGTATTTTATGTGTACATGGTAAAGTAAAGTAAACTTTTTGGAGGAATCTGGTATCATATGGTAGCAGAACTGACTCTGAAAGGGAGTCAGTGCTGTGATCAGAGATACAGTAGTTCCTCAATACTATGGAGTGCCTGAAGAAACTGTGTTTCGGGGGTGGGTCTGTTCAACTCTTATCTACTGTGTTGCGGAAGAAAATATGGCTTGCGTGTCCTAAAAAGATAGCCACCCAGCACTGGTATCCTCCCCATTCCGTTCTGTAACACCAGTGGGTACTTTTATTTCTTGACGTCTTATATACAGTATAGAACATCTACAGTTTGGGTACACAGAGCCATAGACAGGAGGTGTGGCAGCAGACAAGATCAAAGTCCAAAATACTGCTTGCTGATGAGAACCTTTGGGGTACGCCCGCTTGTCTGGGAGGAGGGGAGCATGAGAGAAAATTGTTTTTGTATTGTTTTTCCCACAAAATAAATGCAAACACAAAAAATTATGAAGTGCCTTAAAAGTGAATTTAGTCTAGACATTATACCTGATATACTTATTCAGTGCTCTGAGTGATTCAGTATACAGTTTAATACAAAGGTTTGGGCACCCCTGGCCAAATTACATGTTTTGTTGATTTTCTAAGTAAAGCTTTTGCACATGCCAGATTTACCATTTTCTTTTTTTTAATCTGTTAAATTCAGCAAATAAATAGTAACTGTGCATTAAAATGTACAGAAATATGTCAAGTTTAAGGTTGTTTACTGCAGAGGTAGTGTTAATTTCTTTACACTTAGAAAATCAACAAAACATAATTGGGCCAGGGGTTCCCAAACCTTTGCATACATCTGTACATGTTTTTAAACCTGCATCAAGATGGGATTGTGCACTCAGGGATATTAAAATCAGAACTTGATAGTGACTCCCATATAACTTCATTTTTTCTAAGTTCTTGGAAAAAAGTGACCAGCATTAAGAATGTGTGAGCTTCAAACTTTTCCAGTTCCTTTCACATTCTTTGGCAAGATGAGGCCTTTCAAAAACTTATCTCAAGTGGTCTTCCACAATGCAACTAAGACAAAGCAGAACTAATGTTGACCTGGTGCTTTCAAAACCATTCAATGACAAACGTGTGATGAAACTCATTAAAACGTTATGGTCACCGACACAAAATTACAAAATAATTGTCATGGATTAACAGGTGACAGTGTGAACACCACTGTCTTTTTTTAAAACAAAATTAAAGTTTTAACTGTAATTATGACTAAGCATTAAGTGTTACTCAACAGTCTTGTCATTACTCAGGAATAGTTGTAACAGGTAAAGATAATCTGAGATTTCTCAACTGTAAGAAAAGAAAAATGCAACATTCCCGATATTAATCCAAATCCACATGCAATGAAAGAATATAACAGTCTTAGCTGTCCATCTGATGAACAAAGAAAATTAAGGCTCTCAAACGTCACCTTCTGTCAACACTGGGATCTTGAAACACTTTTTATGTAGTTATTACCATTGCTGGTGAGAAAAACAATCACTGACGTCTGACTGTAATCCCTGCCTATTAGTAACTGTTGAAAAAAGCAACGGGTTTAGCAATTACTAATATTTCTTCCTCTGTGTAATTAACTTTTTATTTTTAGAGGTTTGCAGTTTTTGCATAAAACTGCTGCAAAACGTGAAAAACAAAACAAATTAAAAATATGCTGCAGCCAAAGCAGGAGGAGATGATATTCCCCAAGTCAGCTGATGGTTTATTGCTTTAGCTCATCTTATACAGGGCATCAGAACTTGGTGAAAGTGCTACCTAAATTCTTAGTTGCAAGAGACAGAAAAATGTAAAAGGACTACAAATTAAAAAAATATATTTCATATACATTATTTGAATACACTCAATGTACAATCAGAGATAAAATATTTACAAAAGTTACGTACAGAGACATTTACAGATAGTTTGGAACTCCAAAGCACAGCTCTCAAAAACAGTGCTTAAGGTAAAATCATCAGTCACCGCTGACCTGCTGGATTTGACAGCAACAGGAGAATGGATGACAAGCATTGTAGTTTCTCTTTTACATATTCTGGGAGCTTTTCATTTTCGCTGTACCTGAAATACAGAAAGACATTTACCCATTTTTAGGTTTTCCATGCCATAGAGCTTGATGTTTGGGCTTATGGGGATTGCTTTGAGTGTTGTATAGGAGAGCAGCTGGGAAGCAAGGAGCTGACTTCAAATGCTTTTTGTTTTTAAAATAAGAAAAACATGGGTTCATCACTTGTTTATGTGGGCTTCGTCTAAGAGAGTTAAGGCTGCATACTTTCAGTAGCTTTCCAAAAGTGTTGCTTTGATGTAGCACAAGCCGTTTGTCCCCTCTAGACAGAGGAACACAGTGCAACCTGCTGCAGTGAAGGAGATTCTCCTTTCCCTAGGTTACCTGGTGGTGAGTCCCTGAGGCGATGTGTAGATGATGGATGACACCCCTGCCTGCACCACCAGCTGACAGCCGTCATTGAACTGCACCCACACTTCTCCGCTCGTGAGCTGCCAAATACAGATTTCATTTAATACATACTGTGTGGACCAAAATCACCATTTCTCAGTTATCAGTATCTGATCAAATTAAAGGGTACTAGCTTTTATAATGGAATACTGTAAAGATATCACAAATGGAGAAATAAACCTGCAAACAGCATTAAAGATGTCCAGAGATTCCAGAGCTTTCTGTTGTCTACCAATGCACTTATTGAGTTCAACATGAGATAGGATGGACACCAAAATCATTCCATTTAATTCCTCTCATTCTAATCACTTCTCTCGATTCAGGGTTGCAGGGGAACCAGAGCCTATCCCGGCATCAATGGACACAAGGCAGGATACACCCTGGACAGGATGCTAGTCCATCACAGGGCACACGCAGAGACATGCACACACCAGGCCAGTTTTGCCAGAAGTCAATTAACCCAACAGTATGCCTGGACTGTGGTAAGAAACCAGAGAACTTGGTGAAAACCCACGCAAACACAGGCAGAACAAAGAAACTCCATGCACATAGCACACCAGCTCTGGAATTGAACCCGGGGCCCCGATGCTGTGAGCCAGCAATGCTTACCATTGTGCTACCATGCCCTGGTCAACAAAATCTGACACGATTTTACATTTTCAGAAATACTTGGACTTGAATCAGTACGACAGACATGTGCCTTGATTAAAAACATTTACAGAAAAGCGGATTTTTACCTGAGAGGCCCAGCCTACATTGGGCACAAAGACTGACTTGAGCACTTTGCCAGCCAGCTGCGTGCCCTCTTGCTTTGCAGATGGTGGAGTACTGCTTTTTGAAAGGCTTGTTGTTGTGAAGACAGATCCATCATAAGAAATCATCTGTGAAGAAAAATGATTTTTTTTTTTTTACAGTAATGCTATTAATGAAAAAATTATTGGAAACTGAAACTAAGCATACCCCCCCCCCCCTTCTGAAAAAAACCTGGAATACTGGAGGAGTGCGTACAGATGGAGTTATGTTCGGAGGCTGGCTGGGAGACCTGCTGCTGTTCAGCACTACTCCATTTGGTGAGGGATTCTCTTTCCCACAGAGTTTGGGGTCCTGTGCAGGTTGGGAAGGGGGGTCTGGAGAGTCGAGTTTTGCTGGTCTCCTGGTGTAATAAATATCAAATACATACAAATGCATTAAAGAGAAATTGGGCAGACCTAATCAGAAATTTAAGATTAATAGAATTGTAAATTGTAGTGCACGGCTATTGTATTCCATTTTTTCTTACTGTATGTTCAAGTCCCCAAGTGACATGGCCAAAACAAAAATATATTCTTAAGGATTATTAACATTCCTTCAGCAATTCTTCGTATACACCTACTAATAATAACTGCCTCCCTTTAATATGATTTGCTCATTCAGCATACATTTGCATGCTGGAGGGCAATACTGCATCCGAGCTTGGCGATTAAAAACATACTTCTCTTCAATGGACCACACAGTGCATCATGGGAGGTGACCTTGACCGAATAAAGTTAAAAACTGCTCTCAACAAAGTACATTCCCTGGAAAATGACCAAATCATATTAAATTTGGGATCATGACAAATAAATAATGATATTTAATGTTAAATGTTTAGGTTAATATGAACCCTTTAACTATTACTCTTTTTATTCTGGCTGCTTCATTTCTACCCATCCATGTACTACATATTCATTTACTATAAAGAGGTATTATGACTCCTAATGACAATCACAAAAACTAAACTGTTTTATCACCATTAAGAATGTAGATTTCGATAGCATAATACAAACTTTCAGTTTACAAAAGATCAATGTGAATGTAAAAAACCAATTATATTATAATGAGTCCTCATTATAAGAAAATTCTTCCAATACTTTTCGAAATGTGTATTTAGATTTAGCTTTTTTTACATCTAGTCAAAGACATTTCTCACCTTCCAACTATAATTGGAAAAAAAGGAATATTTTTTTCACTTCTTTTTTCTTCTACGATGATAGCAGCCTCCAGTGCCAAGCACATTCTGTGTCCCTGAAGAAACAAAGTCCAGTGCATCTCAGTGTAGTGAATTTCACTTCAGCAATCCAAATCCATATAAAGGATACTTGAAGGATAACCTAGTTAGGAATTTGCCTTTATTGCGGATTACTCTGCAGTTTAAAACCGTGGCCTTCACTATCTTTGTAAAAACAAAATACAATCAAAGGTCACACAAAATATTCCAACAGTTCATTTTAAAGAGTAAAAACAATCAGTGAGGTGACTTCAATTGTTAATTTTACCTTTCCAGTATACCAAGTGACTTGTTATTTCAGTTAGCTTCAGTTTCAGATATAGACCTGTCATTTTCAGCACCCACATGTTAAGCAAGTGTACAATAGTAGGTTATCTTGGTCTCTCATGATTTTGATCAATTCGTTTTCTTCAACAGACAGCATACAGACCACTAGCATTAATAAATGTGACTAGAAACAGACACATAAAAACTCTGGGAGTTAAGACCTGAAAGGTGGAGCTGAGTAAAATTCAGCATCATTAGAAAGCACATATTTTGGGATGCGGAGGGTTGGACAAAGATCATCACTGGTTTAAACCAAGAACAAGTCACTAGGTTATGGCTGAAACAACTGTAAATGGATTATTTTATACGATAATGAGATGAGTAACACAGAACAGAAAGAAATAATATGCTTTTTCATTACACACCCTAAAATAATTAATTCAGGTGAGGGGAATTCATTGAATCTGGAATAAGGATACCAACAATATATCCTATGTACTGTTAGTGTACTTCAATTTCAGTTACACATTGTTGTTTGTGGGAACAACACCAGGAATACTAAAGATTACCATATTTAAAGGTAAGAAAATACAGCATTTTTACAGTCCCTATTTAGCAAGTACAAGTAAGCAACTTATGGGCAGCATGGTGGTGTAGTGATTAGTACTGCTGTCTTGCAGTGCTGGGGATCTGGGTGTTCTCTCTGTGTTTACGGAGGCTTCCTCTTGGTGTTTTGGTTTCCTTCCGAAGTCCAGAGACATTCTTGTAAGTTCACTGGCCTGGTAAGAGTATGTGCACGTTTGCGTCTGTCTGGGGCCTGCAATGAACTAGCATGCCTTCCAGGACGTACTCCCCCTTGCACCCACCGTTTGGCAGGACAGGCTCCTGCTCCTCCACCAAATAAAGTGGTTAGAAAACGGATGGAAGTAAACAACTTATTATACCTCATTTGAAAGTTCCACATAAGCTCTGCTTTCTTCACTCAAGCCATTCAGCCCCACATCTCCCTTCAATGTGTAGGACTTCCCCGTCTTCTCTATAACTCGCAGGTACTCCGTCGTCTTGTGTGTTTTTGCCCCTGGAGGAACAGGAATAAAATCAGGGCATAGCGAGTTTAGCGCTGAGACATATTTGTCGAATCTCCAGATTTACCAGGATAAATCATTCAGCCACACTTGTTGAGACAAAACGTTACGATGCTTAAAAGGCTGTTACACACTGACTGAAAAAATAACTGTATCCACAGTAAAGCAAGGCAATTCAAAACCTCAATAACCATAACTTACCATTACATTCAATAAGTGTCTCCATATAGAAAACCAAGCTAGTTAGCAAGGATTCTGTGTAATAACAGCTTCAAATAGGCATAAAAAGCTATTGCATTTGAAACATGAGTTTGGATCACATACACAACTCACATTCCAATACTTTAATTTTGAGTCTGCTTTTAAGCCATGCTTTGTTCTGAGTATACTGTATTCCTACCTGATGAAGAATGACGATAAAGTTCTACAAATTCAGAGCTATTTATATAAATGTACAGATCTTCTCCATTCATTTTTTCCCATTTTAAAGCAAAAAATCCTACAGTACATGTTGTATTTTGCAGCTTAGTTTACATTGCTCCCTTCTTGAAATGAAACCTATTAATCCATCCTTTTAAAAAAGTTCATTTGAATCAGATTTAATTACATTTGTTCTGGTTAAATCCAGTAGTGGGAGAGTTTGTTCCTTTTTGTTACTGCAAGGATATTACAGAGTCATTGAAGACATGAGAGCGAGATAGAGTGTTAAACACAGTATTAAATAAAACACTTGGCAATAAACCTCAACAATAACACACATCTGCAAGACCCCCCCCCCGCATCTCTTCTATCTCCAACACACAAAGCAACTTATTTATACTGCAGAAATAATGCCTTTGACCTAATCCACTGCCTGGGCCCAAGCCCTCTTACCCCCTTTGTGAAAGAACTAACTCTTGGACCAGTGTGCAAACTCAGCTTGCAGAGCGGCAGCTGCTTACCGTCATAAAAGCAGACCTCCAAATCAGCACTGGGGGAGTTCTCCATCAGCATGCACTTGGCATGCTTCGTGTACAGGGTGACTTTGGGGGTCTTTGATTTCACCAGTTGCACAAACTTGGTGGCATACTGGTACTTCTTCCAGTACTTTTCTGTTAAAAAAGAAATTTCCAATTGTATTAGCTAGAAAAGAAAGCAGAAACCCTAAATGTATTATCTTTAGAAGAGAAACCAAGATTCTAGTAAAACAAATGCAATCTAATCCCCAGGAATGCAACCTAAACACAGCAACCCAGGAGCATCACTGCAATTTTAACACTAAATCCAAAAACTGTGAGAACCATAAAATGTCACAGGTGGTGTCTCTTTAAACCTGCAATGTAAATGAACCTGTCGCGATCGGTGAGGATGAGGTGTCTGCACCACATTGTGTCGAGCCAGACAATTCTGGAAATGTACCTGGCAAATCCTCAAAGCTGTAAATGAAAATATCTTCTGGAGGGGAAGGCGGCCTGTCATCAAGGGGAAACCCCCTTCCTTCGTTGGGGTGGTAAACCGTAATCTGCAACGCAAGAGACAAATTAAGAGAGAGAAACGCTTCGTTGGCAGTCAAAGAAGGACGAAAGTTTGACAGCAAGGGAAGAAGAGCAAGTGCTATTACTGAAGCTGACATAAAGGGCTCCAGTGAACAGTGAAATGGAAAAGTTGGACATCTGAGAAATGATTTTGTGTGTTGCAAATGTCTCTGAGGAAACCCTGTGGAAATGTCTACATGTCAGATGGGCGCATCAGCTCACCATTGAACCATCACAGGATATCCTGAGGACTTCTCGAACGCGTTCCTGGGATCCCTGTCCCTTGACCAGCTCCATGCAAACCTCCCCTGTTTCAAGGATGCTCACCTAAAAAAGGTGGTAAGAGTATACAGATTTTCCCCAGTTTACATTAGGGATATCTGCACAATCCAAGGAAGCGATCTTAATGCCTTTTGTAAGTAGAGGTATTAAAGTGCTCTGCATGAAAAAAGCCATGAAATCTTAACATATTATAAAAGGACTGCTGACTTCCAACAAAGACTCAAGTGTTTAGTGTTTCTATAATGAGAGGTATTAAACACAACAAACACTATTCGTTCCAATTCTCATTTGTTCTGTTCTGAATGTCTGATAGTATAGGGTGTTCTCTCTACAAAAATGTGACTAACCATGGAGAAAATATACGTTATTTCCTTAATAGATTGCAATTAGTCTTTTTGGTAGTGGAGGTTGAATTCTTTTTAGCTTCATTGTTCTTGTGCAGTTGCTCAACTCAATGGTAATGTTTTCCAGTCGCATTCTGAAAAGTACAGTAACTCTTACCACAGCATTTTTAGTCTTCTGCCGAATGGGCTTCAGTCTTGTCGCACAGAGAGGAGAGATGACGTTCTTCAAGGAGTGTTTCTCACTGCCTGCGCTTGGCGTTTCTCTTGAAACGGGAAGGTGCTGTTCAGCCACACAAGGGGGCTGCAGACTGGCGAGTCCCTGGGCATTATCTACTTTATTCAGGGGTGCCCCTTCACAGCCCCTGGGGCCTGTCTGCCATGGAGTGTGCAAGTCATTGTAAGATGACTCTGTGCCCCTCTTAACACGCTTTTCATTCCAGGAGTTCACTGGCAAGCCATTCTGCAGAGAAAGAGCCTGTAGTCCATTGTGAAAGCTGCCAGTCCCGTTGCTGCTATGCCCGCTGATGTCAACTGGCTTTTTAAAGTGACCTGAGGGAAGGGAATAGATTCAAACCAAATGCTCTACTGCTCTAGGAATTAGTCAGTTTGCACATTATTAAGGAAGGGAGACATCAGAAAAAAAAGGAAAAACAAGCGGGAATCCCAAATGAAGTTCTCGTCAACTGCTCCTTTTTATACTTTAAAAGCACATTTTGATAGGCAGTAAAACTAAAATGTACTTCTCTTTCTTGTGATTTTTTCTGTCTGCCCATCTCAGCTTTGTTTTTCAGTCACAAATCTTTAATCGCTCAAAAAAGGAAACGTTTCAGTTGCCTATTGGTGTTTTGCATGAATTCTTTATCATTATTTCAAATCAAACTCCCTTGAAGTTCCTACTTCTATTACAATGCTTATTTATCAAAGGGTCTGGTAGAGATTACCTTCTTGGTTGAACCATTGCTGCACAACGTCTGAACCCAGTCTCTGTTGGCTGCCTGGCAGAGATGGCTCACAGGGATATAAACAATCTGAACTGGGAGAAAGAACCAAAAATATTTACAGAATACAGTGCTAAAAGGGACTGTCTGTCAGGTCAACAGAACATATTCAGATTTACTTACTGCAGCTGTTTCAAAGACAGCACAACTGGCTTTTGGCTTCCAGGCTTGGAGAGCTTACTGTCCAGTAGAACTGTCTTCAGACCTTTCCAGCTATCTGGCTTCTTACAGTTCTCCTTTATTGTTTCTCACACAAGTCATTCATTTGTACCAGCAAACTGTGACTGCTTTACCTTCCTGAAATTCTATGTAAGGCTCAAAATGTGGCGAGCAAACATTGAATCACTAAAATCCTTATTAAAACACGTTAGTTGTATAATGATATCTGCCATTATTTCAATTACTTTACAAATGGTACTAGCTAACATTTTAGTCACTTGGCTTGAAAATATCACTGCAGATTTTTCTTAAATCTATCGAGTAACTCGGTGGTATAGAAAGTGATGTCTGATGTCTACAGGTGTCACAAATGAGTAAACCTGAGCAAATGTGCATATTTATGGAATTAATTTAGATCCGAGCAGCTGTACAAAGTACTGCTCCTTTGGTTCAGTATACAATAATTCTTAAATTCCTCTGAAGCTTGCACATGTTTGATAGTAGATCTATATAATAATGTCGTGTAGTAAACAGAGAAGCATAACACTTAGCTTATCATATCATTTTGTTACATAAGCACAGGTAAAATGTGCAAAATTGGCAGATTTGAGATGTGATTTAATGCAGCTTGTTATAACGTGCTTGTTCTTGGCCATGAGCTTCAAATTGGAGAAAAAACAGCTTTATCAAAGTTTTAAAGGAGATGTTCCGAAAAAACAATGGAAAGAAAAGATTGACAAGTCCTGCATACTTTACATACTGCACTTGGCAAACAAATTCTTTCAACTCAATGCCTGCGACTGCTTCCTGACAAAACTCCATTCCCATAAATATAATTTGTATTGAACTAATTATGTCTCTACATCGGCTGTAGCCTTGAGTGCTGATTAGGATTACAGGCATGTAACAGGAAGTGTATGGATTCATTTTCAAGGTGGGGGCACTGCTATTGAGCCCATGGGAAGGATTACTACATTCAGATTGCTTCAGGACCCTGTAATGTAGACAGGTTCAAACGTAATTATATATAAAACTGATGCAAGATGAGGATTTCGACTGATGAATAAAACCACCAGCCAAATAATAGGATGCAGATAAAAGAACATAGCTCTGTTCTTGGCTCTAAATTAATAATAGTGCAGTGCACTTGGGTGTGAGCTAAGAATTGTGACTGTGTAATTACATTCGATGGAAAAAAGAGGGTGGTAATATAAAAGAAATAAAGGAAATAAAAGAGCAGACTTCAGTGAGATAGTGCGAGTTAAGATCTTACTTGGCTTTCTGTTTGACAGGAGGGGAGGTTACTTTCCTATCCAGAGACACAGACACATTTTCTTTAAAGCTCTGCGGAATGTCACTGTAGCTGGGGCCCACAGGGAAAGTTTCCTGCCCTCCACGGGTGGCCTGTCTGCTTGGCTTGGACAGCACCTCCATGGAGTGACACCTCTCTATCGCTCCCGCGGCTTTTCCCGGCAAGTGGCTGTTTGAGGAACCGGAGCGTTCGGAGGACTGGGCCCTCCTGAGGTAGCGGGAGTGGGGGCGATCCTCTTCGCTCCTCTGAAGAGCCCTCCCCCTGTCTCCCCTGCAGGGGTCCTCGCGATGCGCCAGCTGGTCCCTGTACAGTGAACTCCCATCCACAGAGGAGCAGTCGCCAGGGAGGCGCTCGTGGGTGGGTACGACGTTGATCCGGTTCGGCAGGGCCTGACCTATCAGGTGCCTGTTCTTCTGGTGAAACCGGCCGCTGGTGCTGGCCGAGGCGGACCCAAGGGTGGTGGTGCAGGCCGTGGAGATGGTGGCGATTCCGCTGTCCATGGATCCTTCGACCATCCCCGAGTCTTTGCTCCTCGCCGATGAGCAGTTGGTCATGAAGGGGTGATCCAGAACAGAAGACAGGCTGAGGCGATCAGCGGGGTTTTTGCGCAACAGTTGATAGATAAGATCCTGGGCCTCTCTGGACACGTGTGCGGGCATCTCGTATTCCGCCAGCACCACTTTGTTCAGGGTATGCTTGACCGTGTCTGTGTCGAAGGGGGGTCTACCCACCAGAAAAGCGTAGAACATGCAGCCCAGGGACCAGACATCGGACTCCAGACCGTGGGGACCGCGCGTGACGATCTCAGGGGAGATGTAATTCGGAGTGCCACACATCGTGAAGTGTTTTTCACTGGGCAGCTGTAACTGGGTGGCCAGGCCAAAGTCTGCTATTTTGATGTTCATACAGCTGGTAAGCAGCAAATTGGACAGCGTGAGGTCGCGGTGTAATATGCCGTGAGTGTGGAGGTACAACATCCCCTTGACGATCTGATGCATGAAGTGCCGTGCTGTTAAAATAAACATCTTCATGTTAATAATGGTGACAAAGATCTCAGCTCTTCATTGCAAAACGTAATTACAAACATTGTGGAACATAAAGAAAATACGATTTTCATTTTAAAACTCCACACACCAGGGGCCTTTAAAACGATGCTCTCTTAAGTAAAGTATATACAGGAAAATGTATAAAAATGGCAATCAAGATATAATAATAATTCTTTACACTTATATAGCGCTTTTCTGGACACCCCACTCAAAGTGCTTTACAGGTAATGGGGACTCCTCTCCACCACCACCAATGTGCAGCCCCACCTGGATGATGCGACAGCACCCATAGTGTGCCAAAACGTTTACCACACACCAGCTATTAGTGGGGAGGAGAACAGGAGGAGGAGAGTAATGAAGCCAATTCATAGATGGGGATTATTAGGAGGCCATGGAAGGCCAATGGGAAATTCAGCCAGGACGCCAGGGTAACACCCTTACTCTTTTCAAGAAATGCCCTGGGACTTTTAATGACCACAGAGAGCCAGGTCAGTATAGTGTCCCCGTTACTATACTGGGGCATTAGTACCCACACAGACCACAGGGTGAGCGCCCCCTGCTGGCCCCACTAACACCTCTTCCCGCAGCAGCTGTAGGTTTTCCCAGGAGGTCTCCCATCCAGGTACTGACCAGGCTCACACCTGCTTAGCTTCAGTGGGTTATCAGTTGTGAGAGGCAGGGTGATATGGCTGCTGGCTAAAAAAATGCTACCACTGAACCAAACTGTCACTCATATGAATAAACCGAACCATTAGATATGTAGATGTTGCATTGCTAGATCCATACCTTCATCCTCTGAAAAGGGCCTCTTTCTGTTTTTCAAGTACCTGCTCATCTCCCCATTATGGCACATTTCCAAGACCAGGTAGACATAGTTACTGTCTTCGAAGCAATTGTAAAGCTACAGAAAAATGTAAACAAAATTAAAACTAGATAAAGTACAATAGCATGTCTTAACTTTATTCTAACATGTATATTGCCAATATAAAGAAGCATTCAGATTAAGCTTTATTTGGTAAATCTCTTTTTGAGGACATCACTCCTATATTTGAACAAAATCATTTTTCAAACTATGGTATCTTTTAAAAAATAGAGCTAAACAAACATCTGACTCGCAGGTATACTAAGTTGAATATGCCCAGCTATGCTCATGTTACTCATCATTGCTCTTTTCTTTACAAGTCAAAGTATCTTATTAGTTCAGGTGGGTAGCTGCGTCAGCATGCGTAGGCTGCAAAGGAACAAGTAATAGGTTTATTCCATGCTGAAAAAAAGAATTTTCTTTCTTTCTTCTCTTTTCAGCATGGAATAAACCTATTACTTGTTCCTTTGCAAAGTATCTTATTGTTCAGCTTGAAGAGTGGTAGTGCGCTTTGTTTCTGATTTTTAGGGAGGTGCGCCACCTACTGGTTCATCACATTCATTACCATTTCCTACCAGTCTGGTATCCCAAGTACTGCCCAGCAAAGCCTCTAACTCAGGGCTCTCAAAACGAGGTTCAAGGTGGTTTTGTTGCACCTGTGCTCGTAGTTTCATAGTTGGTTTATTTAATTAACTGCAATAATTGCGATATATCTAACTAGCCTCCCATGCCTTTTCTAAACATGTTTAATGAAGGGAAGAGTTTGAGTAATTATCCTGAGTAAGAAAAATCCTAAATACTGTATGTCTAAGAATAAAATATTCCAATGCAGGTTGGAACACAAACACAACTGTCACTAAGCCCACCAGAAAAAAAGGAGTTTCCCAATCCTGATCTAACTGAATACATTTAATTAAAGACAGTTTCATTGCAAATGTAACTGTTATTTCTTGCACTGTCTAGTGAAGGCTTTCAACTTTGTTATAAAAAAAACAATATCTTATTGTGTTTTGTATTTTTGTTACACATTGACTAAACCAGTCAATGTTTTTCTTCTTTAAGCTGGGTTCCAGCAAAGATGACCTTTCACTCTATGTTCTTAACAGTTGTAGAGTGCCCATCCTTGCCTAGGTCTTAAACCCAGCTGTCAATGTTCATGGTTTTATACACAAACCAGTAGGTCACAGTATATATATAATATATATACATACCTCCAGTATAGATGGGTGCTTCAGCCGGCAGTGAATCTCCACCTCTTTCCGGACTCGGTGAACCATGCATGCTTTTTGCATAGCCTTTTTATCAATCTGCAAAGGCAAACGAAAATCACTAACTTCAGTTTTCCTTAGACATCAATATACTTCATGATTCCACACAGCAAACTACATCAGTAAAGAGGACTTTTTTAAAGAATCACAATTAACAATTTTGATCTCACAAGAAAGATGTGTAAAATAATAAAGGTGATACAGATTGATTTCAATACATGAATTTAAACTACACTGAATTAAAAAAACACTACTCAATGTCACAAGGTCTATCACCTTGATGTTACATGCTTTGCTAACCCTGTCAATACCAATAATTTATTATAAAACATGTCAAAGTGTTGTTTTTTTTAAATGGAAGCAACTGGGCCTAATGGCCCCCCTGGAAAGCAAAGAATATATATGAAAGGCAATGCTCAGCCTCAAAGAATCCCTTTAGAATTACTTTATTTTTGGTTTCAAATTTTTATTAATGAAAACAAATTGTATTTTTGAAGTCTTACACCATTAGCTGAAATATTTCATTTATGACAGAGAACTGAAGCCTTTTGTCCCCAAAAAAGCTTTTCTCTAATGTAAATATGGTCCATGGAGTTAATATAATTTGACTTTTTGTTTTCCTGAATTGTTGCAAGATTTCCCCAATTGTGCTCAGCACGTATTTTGAACACCGTTATTTTCGATCAACCTCAGTGGTCATTGGGGTCAGTGAACAAAACGAAATCTTAACGCACTGCAGAATTTTCGAGCTCTACACTTTAAAGGACGGAATGTACTCACCCCCATCTATTGTATGATAAAAAAGCAAGACAAAACAAGCATTCAAATCTCACCATTTTAATTGCAACTTCCAAGCCCGTGTTGACAGATTTCGCTCTGTACACACAAGCAAAGGAGCCCTTCCCGAGAAGGGTGAGCACCTTGAAGTCCTGCAGATGAAGCATACGCACGATATTTGCATTTAAAAGTTCAACATATGAACCAAACATGCTTTCTTGTTAAAAAAAAAAACATTAAAAGTTTTAAGAGCTAGTTAAAAAAAAATCTTCACGTTATAATTACACAACAAATATTAGCCTAACGTAAAAGTTAAGATAAAACATCTACATTCACTTTTCCTGGATGATGACAGTCATAACGCCAATTAAAGCCCACTTCGTTGAAAAGGTAGGTGAGCGCTCCAACTCTGTTCCCAGAACGTAATCACAGGTCCCCATCCTTTTAGACCAATGTGTCTGAAACACGCGTCTCTGGAGTATACCTCGATTTGAAGGTCTCCAGATGGACTAGACATCTTTTCATCTCCACTTTCTTTGCTTTTGCTGGTCAGGTTTTGGAACAGGTAATTAAGAACCCGGTCAAGCATTTTCACCAGCTGCTGTGGTTCAGACGGTTGTTACTGCTTTCATAGTCTACGGTAACTGACGTTACTTCAAACTGTCATTTCGAGCAACTTCAACATCCCGGTCATCTTCCCGCTGTACCCTTGGGTCTTTACCTTGGCTGTTGCCTGGCAACGTTAAACCTTAGCTACCCTTGCAAACCAAGCTGCACATATCATCTACTGCCAGTTTAAATGTTCACAGATATAACGTGTTTGTGAAAATGGATCGTTGCGGTACTTTTAACAATATTTCCTTTGCGTTTCAACATCAGACCCGGTTTCGAGTAAAAATAGCAAACGGGCTTCTGATGTTTCTGGAATAAAATCCAGCATTCACATTTCTATTCAAAATTCGCTGTCCAGCCATTAACATCATAAAGCGATTCGAATATTTTACTACAACAGAAATGTTAAGGCATATTTCGCTCATATTGTGACAAGCAAACGGGGGCGTGACAAAAAAAAAGGCAAAGTGATCAGACCTTAATATGCAAGATATGATTAACGGTGTTAGTAAAGCACATATACAACTACGCTTGGTTTCCGATTGGAATGTTTTCCACTTTGCGGTCTGTTGCTCGATTTTACTGAAAGATAACGTTAAATGCCGTGAGGTAACTCATCTGTAGCAGCAACACGCTGGCTATCCACATCGGGCCTGCACAACTTCCTCTCCCTTATTTTAAACGTCTAAGACACCACCCACAAACAGTGAAGACTATACTGTATATGAAATGACAGGCCGCCTGCTAACCCACAAACAAAATGCTTTGTATTGCCTGACGCGATTCAAATGCAAATATTCAATAAAACAAAATCTAGAACCCCAAGCACGAGAAGCGGGTAGTAGGTCACTTTACATACTTGTTCTGCTCATTTCGTATGGAAAACAAGGTCCAGTGCAGATGAACATCAGCACGCGATAATTTAAGAACCCCTCAAAATCTCACAACTAATGATTTAACTTTTAGAAAGCACATCCGAAACATTCGTTTCCATTTCCCGTAAACTAAGCCAACCGCATTTACATTAGGAACCCTGAAGCAACAGGATGGAACGAAACTAAGAAGAACGAAGACGATTTTGTTTTTTACCAGGAGCCTCCACGTACCTCGATTTTATCGCCGATCGATACACTCATCTTGTTGGGCTTACTAGGCAATCCACACAGTAATCTGTATACATTATTTCACATGTACTTATGGGCCGTAAAAGTGTCCCGCAGCTCACGGTTCGCCGCCGGGAAGACATTTGTATTCCGTGTTACTCTTGTCCGCCCAGAATTTCGGCTGTTTCTCCATTTTGAAAACTGCCGCGGTCCCGTCACGTTGACGTCACCGGATGACGACGTACAATCCAGTGATGTTCTTTCTAGCAGTCCTTCCTGGGTTCCGTTAGTGTGAGAGACCAGTCTGCACTGCTGTAAAGTAACGTTTGTTCTGTACTTAAATGAGTTAAGAAGGTACGGGATACATTCTGTATCCCGCAACACATTCTGATAAAAATGGAGCAGTCAGGCTTTTGCTCGTATTTTTAATTCACCACGTGTCTTTAATTACAGGGGGTATTAAGTCGTTTCTTTTTTAAGAACTGCGGTGTTTGGATTGCACCGATTCTGTAAGCCCGGATCGTAGCCACTTTTTATCCTTACAGTACATTTTTATAACCTGAAGTCTAACATTTTTAGGAGATTAAAACAAAAGGTTATAGCTGAAGGAAAACATATTTTTCAAAATCTGTTTATTAATCGTAAGGCAACCAATGAAAGCCTGCCCTCATGTGACAGGATTGATAAAGTTTGTCAGATCAGTCATCTTCTAATTTCTGTGCTTTCCATTCTCGCTTTTGTCGGCATTGTTTTAAAACTTCTTGTAAATTTGCTAAGTCAACGAAAATGCTAGAAAAGCACACAGTCCCCCATACAATATATTTTCCCCTCCAGTTAAACATATTATTTTTATGTTCTTGTTCCTGATGCTAAGAAAATTATTAATATTTGGACACATCTATGGACGAGTGTTGGCCTCATTTGAAACAAAGTTTCTGAAAACATCATCATAAAGAAAAAAAATATCCATTATAGCGAAGTGTACGCTATAACTCACAATTGTGTATTTGAATTGTTGATATATGTTTGCATTATTAGAACTTTATTTTCAGATCCTAAAAATATGAAATTGTGAATGTTTCCAGTACCTGCAATCTCTAAGATCCCAAAACTCTAAAAGTCTAATTAAGCAAATTAATTTAATTATGGTTTCAGTTATGGAATGGATCTGAACTGGAAGGCAACCAAGCAGACTGGTTTGTAAACAAGAATTCTATAAATACAATAATCTGTTTAAATTTGACTAAACACCATTTAAACAGTAGTTTTGTTTCGTTAGAGCACAGAAACATTTGAATATGTTGTCTTTTAATACTGATTAATTTTGTTACTCTTGACTATAGTAGGCTCTGTTCAGTTTACATAACATTGTTGTGGGAATTATTGTTCAAGCCTTTGAATGGGGGTAGACTTGTTTGCATGCTGAAAAATATATCACCATAGTAACCCTTCTCATTCAATACTGAAAGAGCTCGTTGAGAGCTTGGCTGAGTTGGTTAAAATAGGAAACACACGTAAAATATCTTTGAAGCTTTAACTTCCGTATAGACATAGCATGTCACATATATGCGTAAAAAATGAAGAAAAATTCCCAGGCTTGGCTGTAAGTATTGAACCACGTGGTTGTGAGCGCCTCGCACGTTTGGGTTGCTTTTGTATTGACTTTTTATTATTTAAGTTAGTAATTGAATATGTCAGGTTTAGGTTTATGATAGAACACACAACTTTTTAGATGTGTTTTTGTTTGAATTTGCTTATTTCTTTCAAAAATGAAGTTAAATTAACATTGCATTTTATATGCAATTCTTTATTGCACTCTTAACGGAATTAAAACCGTGTAGAGTGCTCGAGAACGCATTCTGCTCTATGTGCAATACCAATATGCATATTTATATTCCACAACATTTATATTGCATTGGATATAAACCCAATAAGGAATGTATTGTAAAACTAATATAAAAAATAATTGACATAAAACAGCCTTATAACATTTTGATCAATTACTTAAAAAGTACTGTGTAGGAAATTGAACTTTACAATTGTTTAATAACTAGAACCTAGTAAACCAAGGGCAATATTACGATTAAAGAAATTATATTTCAGTATAACAAGGAAGTTAAAATGTGACTAGATCAGAGTTTAAGGATGAATACATTTTTATGATGAACATTTAAACATATGTTATATTGCAGTTTTTGATATCCGTACAACTTTTTCTTTAAGCCCCATTGCAGATATTGAATTAGTTCATCGTAAGTGCACAGCATTTATCCTAAATTTAAAATTTTGCTAACAGTATAAAATAATTTACATAATTGCACTTTGAGATGAAGAGATTAAAAAAAATATTTATCTAGATTAAATTTATAAACAAGAAAAGGGAAGATGATAAAATCAATGTATTTGACATATGTAAAAAAAGGACGTTTTCTTGGTTTAATATTTTGAGCTCGGGTTTCTGAAGACGGAAATCTGTGTCCACTCTTTGAGCTCTGCAGTTTTGAATAGTAGGTTTTTAAAGCCAACGAGCCTGGGGGTTTGTGAAAAGGTGGAAGCGTGTGTTATTTGTTGCGGCAGACATACACTGCGAAAGAAGAGCCAGGCCCGGGATGCGGCGGTATGTCCTTCCTCCTCCCCGCCCAGGTGACGGAACTCCCTCACAGAGAAGCCGTCCTTAGCATGACCTCCACTCCCGATAACGGCCTCCTCCTGCTGGGCCAGGACGGCCTGCTCTCCCTCTGGTCTCCGACACTCCGGCTCAGAAAAACCAGAGCACTTCTTGTGAGTGAAGGCATCCAACACAAACTTTTCCATCGGCAAAGTCGAGATAATGTTGATGTTTTTTTTAAAGGAATTGTAATGCAAATCTCAGAGTTCATAATGAACGTTTCCACATTGTTATAGTTTGTTTTATTATTTGGGTTTCCTTTGCACTAGTGATACTCTTTGTGAACCCTTGTAGGTTTTATAGGGAGCTTCAAACTATAGAACTGAAGACTTCTAAATAGTTATTAAGTACAGATTGAGTCAATAAATAATTGAGTTATGTAATTAAAGACTCACATGGAATGAAAACTACAAAACTGTGGTTCTCTAGAACCAGGAGTAAGGATCACTCCTTAACACTTTCCCAGGTCTTAGTCATTTGGTTGCATAATTCTTAAGACATGAGCTGTTGTTCTTTGGTATTCTGCTCTACGGCTCAAGACACTTTTTTCACAAGGTAAATTTCCAGCTATGCACCATGCTCTATGCTCTATTTCAGAAAAGTGTTGGGTGGTGAAGTACTGTACCATTATATTTCTTTGATGAAATATAACTTGTCAGGAAAGTATACCATAGCTTAAAATAACCACTAGATGTAGAAAAGTGAATCGTTTCATTACAATATAGGATACATACCAAGTTCTTTGTACATTTGAATAAAAGGTTGTTGTTTGTTACATATACTCCATTAACAAAACAAAGTATAAATGTTCAGAACATAAATAAAAGAAACACGGACAAAAAAAAGCTGTTGATGACTGATGTTACAGGAAGAAAACAAACAACCAGCCAGAACACCCAAGTGGATTGCAGACACAACGTTGATGCCGCAGTATAACAAACTTGTTATCGGAACTTGGTGAGCATTGTCAGTACTCTGAATGTCAGTTATACTGTACTTCATAAAGAGCTTCATCGAAAAATGAGGGAATGCACCTTTCACAGTGGGAGACAGAGCAGAAAGGCTGATTCTTTTTCAAACAGTCCAATTTGCACAGCTTTGAAGTAGCAGTTCCTAATGGGGTACTGGGGACCTAAATACATTCTGGTTTTCCTTTCAGTAAAGCTCATTACCTTGTTCAGTCCTTAGTTGACCTAACAAGTTGCTTGATGGGGAGTCTTTGCAAATTGTGTTTCTACTCAAAAGTTAGATATACAATGCAACCATTACATCACAACCGCCAACATGTTTGCGCACTGAAAGTGTTCAAATCAATTCTGTTATTAGCTAAATTAAGGTTATGATTAATTATGTAACACTCAGAGTGAAAACCAGCAAGTTTATGCATCCCAGAACCTGAACTAGGAACTCGTGGTGTAAAGGGGTAGTAAATGCTTTATGTGTAATGCAAGTTATTGCATAGATACAATATTACAGGAAATATTTTATACTTCCCAAATTTATGTCTACTGTATGCAATTAATCAAATTAAATCTATTTGCTCTCCATCACATCCAAGAAAGGAATCATTACTGAAGTTCTGTCATACAAAACATCCCTGTTCCTCTGAGCTCGATAGACCATTACGACCAGTTATGCCAAGCATGAGTAGTACCCCTAGTAGAGCTTTACATAAAAAAAATATTGACAGCAAAATGTGTGCCTTACAAGTGGTATACCAGAATAATATGAGACTCTGAGACTTTATGACTGGCATCAGTGAAAACACTAACTGAAATAGGAAATTTAGTTTTTATGCACAACTTGACAGTAGGACTTGAATGAGACAAATATCAAACCTGTCTTTTCACTGGTCCTCTCTTGGTAAGATCTCTGGTACAATGGGGTTAGAAAGATTATATCACAGTATGACTAAATCGCTAGCTCACTTCATGTTCTGACCATGCTAATGCCTCTTCTCCTCCCATTGGAGAGGGTGTTCTGTTGGATTAGGTTTTACAGTGGTGAGAGTATTATAACATTTCTTAAAAGGTCCAAACTGACCCAACCAGGTGTCATATTGAAACCAGGACACGTTTGCTGCACATGATTGAAGGCATCGTAATTAGTGGTACAGTATTTGAAATTTTAATTTCAATATTCAATAATAATAATCAATATTTGTCCTTTATTCTTTCAATTTGCTGTCCATCTAAACATATTCCCTGTTCAAAATGATTTTACTGTTGCCATACCCTTACTTCTTAAATTCTCGATTACTTGAGTTGAGCAATAGATTTTCAGGACCTACCTGGAGCTCAGATTTTGCTGAAATGGAAGATATACTTTCAGAAGGATCGTGTGGCAAAATGTATTACCAAGGGAGATGAGAGGTTGACATGGCTGAATGAGCTTCATTGATTCTTTGAGATTGAACTGTCTGGGTGAAAGAGCTTCAGGGATGTTGAAAACACTTCACATGTTTTTCTGTGAAAGAATAAAAATATAGCCATCACTTTGGCACCAGATGCCATTTCTATGAGCTTTTTGTTCACAGGACATCCCATTTCTGTAAATTATGATCATTAAGCTGTAAACCCGTTGGGGTGCATGTGTTAAAGCTATACCAGTCGATTTCCTTTATCTTCATAGGCGCAATGGACATTTCTCTCTATATATTATTACAGACTCTGTGAAATCTGACTGGACACCAAGCAACGGATTTCAACAGTTTTTTTTTTGTAGAAGTGAAGCACAGTAAACAGAAAATGTGAAGCGTGACAGCTTGTACTGTATTCATTAAGACAAAAGACAATGCAGACTCCCGCTCCAAACACAAAGGAGTAATAACAAGTTTCTGATTTCACTCAGCAATCCGTTTCACTTGCCCCACCTGTCCCCTCCACAACCTGTAACGACAAGGCTTGTGTGCAATATTGTGTTAAATATCCTGGCAGATAATGGGAGGGACA